ATTCCGTTGTCTAGGGACCTTTGTACTTGTGGCAACTTAATTTTTACCATATTCTGGACAGTAATTTCTATTGTACAAACAGTAAAAATCACTGTACCAAACATTAAAAATTATTGTTCTATAAAGTCTCTAGACGACCGAACACCACCAGATTACCATTCCAGCACAGTAATTTTTATTATATTTTTTCCTCTCAGTGTGACCAACGGAAAATTCAGGCGCTTGTGTACGAAAGCACCGACCTGTAGCAAACTTGCAAGAAAGAGAAAATTCCTCTTCTCTGCTTGTGCACGCGGCTTCAATGGTCCCGACGCTCTCCTCCCATCTCTCTCTCTCTCTCTCTTAAAAAAGATAAACCGGCACTTCGGAAAGAGCGTCCCTGACGGCGGAGCGCAACAGTCTTCACATCCGGTTATCGCGCGCACTCGTTTCTCCGTCCCGTCTTTCGGAGGGTGCGCCGTTCCGCTCGTTTATCCAGCCACCCGTATACTCTCCAATTATATCATCATCAGAGAGAGAGAGAGAGAGAGAGAGAGACAGCTCCCCTTTCCACACACGACGCTGCTTAGCTTTTCGACGTTTTCATAATCCCTCCGCACGCCAATCGTCCAATCATTTGCGCGACCTTTCCACAGATTTACATACATATTTTTCATTTTGTTCATCAAACTCGCTGCGATTGCGCGAGAAATTTTGGTTTCGATTGTTTTTCATGATTTACGTTTATGCTTTTTTTTTTTTCTCTTTATTCGAGCATATGCTCTTAAATATTGATGTTTCCCTTGGACCATTTATGCCATGACTGTACTTGGAGATATATAAGTCATAATCGAAGGCTACTGAAACATGGGGAGTACAGTTACGGAAATTAAAAATATCCGATTACCATGTGGGAAGGGCGTATTTCGAGGTACGAAGAAAAAGGTACAGTTAAATGGCACAGTTTTAGACTGCAGTGCAAGTAAAATTTCGACGATGGCGTATTAGATATGCGGCGTAATTGATCGAAATTGACGCGACGAGGCGTGAGATGTCGGAGAGCTCCTCCCCACGGAGCAATACAATAGAGGGGAGAGACGGTGTCGTTGATTAACAGATGTGATAATATGTATATTATTGTGAAAATTGACGAAATTTCTACAAGGTAAGTACTCATAGATTCGATTAGAGAGGTCTTTTGGAAAATCTGTGGGATGAACATAAATAAGTATATTCTCGTTGTTTGAAAGACATTTGAAAATGCATAAATTTCAAGTAAAAAGAGCCTCTCGAATCAATAAAAGAGCCCGTCGCAAGCTCCCCGCATCATCAATGCACAGCCAACAATAACACACATCCCATTATGAGGTACACAACAACGAAGGGGTAGATGCACACACAAGAAGGGATGAGTAGACGCGCGCGCAAAATCTCGCAGCCTCGAAGAAAGGGGGAGGAGAAGAAGAAGAAGAAGAAGAAGAAGAAGCAGAGGTACAGCGGAGAAACGAACGCGTATCGATTTTTCCCAAAGGGAGCTCGTGCACGCCGAGACTGTATGTATAGTTGCCGCAGGATCGGAACAGCGCCTGCGGATACGAGCTTTTCCCCACTCTGTCTTCTTTCGCGAAGTACAACACTCGACAGTGTGTATACATATATAGATCGGCCGTGTGGGTGGGGAAGGACGAGAAGCCCGCGCCCACGCGACGACGGCGATGACGAAAGGAGCAGTGAGCTAGTGACGCAATTCGTATACACCATCATCCCTCGCTGTCGCACTTCTTACTAAAATTTTTGCCAGGGTGGCAGGGTTTCCCGAGGTGAGGTATTATATATACTCCCGTGATACGAACCGGTATATTTTTTCGTGATTAATTTGACATCTCACTCTATAGGTGTACATCCCACTCTGTCTGTCCCTTTGATTCGAGGTGAACTCGAGTGGGCACTGTAAGTTTGACGTGTACCGTGGCATAGAGACGAAACCCCGCCGTGCTGCTAATTATAGAATGTGTAGGGCTTTTCCAGGGGAGTCGACCCTCGTACAATGTGTTACAGCGCGATACTTTGGTCCATTTTCCGGTTCGATCTTTGTTTTCCCTATGCTTCTCGATTTTTTTAATTTTCTTCTAATTGCCCCTCTCGACTGTCCTCCCCGTCCCTTCTAACTCCATCCGTCTGTCTTTTGCATTCCGCGACTCTCTGTACTCTTTTCATCGTTCGGTCCTTTTTTCCTCCTCATCATCTCTCGCGTCTCTCGCTCTACGATTTTCCTTTTCTTTTCTTTTCTTTTTTTTTTTTTCCACCTCCTCGACTATAATTGTATCTGTTGTGCTTTTTTTAATGAATTTTAATTCTATAGATGATTCAATGATCTAAACTATATATTGTCCCAACATGGAGTGGTCCCTTATACATCCATATGGTCCTCGATGCCCTTCACATCCGTCTTTACGGCATATATATTTCCCTTGTGCGTGGACGCAGCATCAGCTCTGCTTCCGTCACCAAACTTCCTTCTCTCTCTCTCTCTCGCGGTCCATATATAGTGAAAAGTAGCTGCGGCAGCCTCGTCGTGCCGCTGCATTTTGATGTATGCACGCCTCGGCTGTACAATAAACGTCCTAGTAGGTACCGGTGTTTCGAACGTCTTTTCTCAACTCTCCGTCCATCCGCCCTTTTTCGAGCTCAATCGCGCGAGTGTGTGCGTGCAGTCCTATATCTGTCCCCCGATTTCCGCTCTTCCTTCCTTCATGGGCGTATACATCCACACCTACAGTCCTTCCGAAACATCTCAAATGCATATACGTATACATATATATATACATGCGTGGTACACTGGTGATTGAGAAGCCATTGACCCGAAAGCTGTACTGCGCAAGTTTGCGCCAAAAAGCACTACACCTTCTGTACCCATACCCCCTTTGGGTGTATATATAACCTCGTTTTACGGGGCAGCAGGCAGACTTTTTCACTTTAAACCATTTTAAATTTTTCTTTCTTTCCTTTTTTTTTGATTCAAGGATCCGATGGTTGATTACAAATTTTGTTTCACGAAAAAAAAAAAAAAAAAAAAAAAGAATTCACGGTCCATAGCTCCATTAAAAAGTTAGGTACAATCTCCCCCGTATTGTCCGCAGGATAAAAGAGATTATCGGTTTTTTCGTTGTCGCAAAACGAAGGTTTGAAAGTGGACAGGGCTTCGGTTTAATTTTGAATTTCGGGATTTAAACAACCGGAGTGTAAAGCAGTCGGTGCTCGAATGATTGACCCAGACGGGAGTAATTTTACATATAATTTAGCGAATTTTTCATTTTCACGTTTTCAAAAAGGACGTCCAATTGCTGTGTTCTGCAGCTTTTCGTTTAATTTTACCAAAAAAAAAAAAAAAACAACTCTACACTTTTTTTTTCCTTCTTCTATTTTATTTGATAATGCACTCTCGCGAGCGTATGCACACTACACTGTTTAAATATTTCATTCAGAGGGTTTTCTCAAAAGACCGGCTACATTTACCTCTTTTGAAAATTTTTTTATATTTTCCAAGAGACGCGAAACTTACCGTGTTCACTTTGAAAGATCCATTACGACTACACTTTTTTTTTCTAGTTGGCAACGTTCCGGGACTTTGCCCAAAGTGCCATTATCCCTCGTACCATCTTTATTAAAAGCTTCGGTATGTAGGGTAATGAGAGATTCCACGGAAATAATCTTGAAGAAAAAAAAATTCAATGAAGTAACGGAAGCTGGAGAACCTTGTGTCCATACTTTGAGAAGGAAAAGGGTCAATTTTTGGTGCACCGTAGTGCGAGAGCAAATTCACTTATAAATTTTAACTTGCAAGTACTTCAGGATATTTATACACTTTACAAGTAAGAAACACACACGCACACATGCTGAACAAAAAAAAATCGAGGGAGCAACAACATCACGATTATTCATTGACGGCCCTATACAGCTGTAGCTTTCATGAAAAAAAAAAAAAAAGAGAGAGAACGCGTCAATGGTCTGTTGGGCGTCTATATACGTATAGTTACGAGTTTGCGCGTATAGGTCGGGGGAGTCTGGAGTTGATCTTCGTAGCTTGTATGGATGTATAGGTGCGTAGAGAAAGAAGATAAATCAAAGCAACATCGACACCGGAAATCCCTTAACTCTGCGGATGGGGGAGAGAGACGGGGGTAACCAAACGAGACTGTCAATCGCCAGGAGTCGTTATATATGTAGGCGTCGCTTGCCGTACAGTTACGTATGCACGGATAAAACATATACCTATGCTTCGTAAGAGACGTACTTACGGATATATCGGTTGAGTATATACACATATGTCGTGGCTGCATTTGCAAACGGCGAAATTCAAATTATTTAAATTATTTATCGTATTACGTAAACATAACATAAAAATATGACAACAAACAACCTTTGAACAAAGTTGTGTGTGTTTATTTGTTACAAGATAATTTAAGCATTCAAACTTTCGCGGTTCGCGAATCAAGCCACGACTATAGCGTACACGGATGAAAACAATTATATTGTTATATATTTTAACACCTTTGCTGTGCGTTCTACTGACTTCGTTCATCATTTTCCGAGGTGATCGTGAACCTCGCAACCAAAATTCCTTTTTTTTTGAATTTTACTACAATTCAATACATCCAATGAAGAATCATAATTATGAAATCAGTATAATTTTAAAAACTTGGCCGTAAGACTTGATTGAAGAAAAAAAAAAAAAAAGTTTTTTGCAACCATCTTGTGTTTTTGAAATCATTACACCAAGTAAACTGACAAACAATAACAACATTTTTTTATTGTTTGAATAATGAAAAAAATTATGATTATCGATTTTCAAAATGTCAATAGAGTAATAAAAAAAGTGTAAGATGAAAAAAAAGTATGCAAAAAAAATTAAAAAATAATTGATAATTTCTATCACTGTAAGCCAACCTTTATTTTTAAACGAGTATATCTATATATGAAGATAGCAGACATAGTCGTGTGGTCGGTGGAGTACGGAGCAGTACACGTGTGATTGTGGAGCACGTAACAGCAATCAGAGTTGCGTTGTTGATTAAAAAATGGCAGAGTCGACGGCAAGTGACGCGATTACAGAAGATACGTCAAACAAAAGACCACAATTTGGAAATCGCACCCTGGGCGAGGACGACAATGTTTTTCAACACAACGCCTGGTGATTTATCTCAACGCTTGACTACTCTAACCTCAAAACTTTGCAGCTGATATTTGTTTACATATTTATTATCTTGTTGATTTGCATTCGCTGGTTTTGTGCTTTGAAATTTACGTGTTTTGCCTTGGTCTGATTGAAATTTTTTTTTTTAAATATCATTTTATACACCACTAGCCAAGTTTTCATGTTTTCTTTTTTTTTGTTGTATAAACTCATTATGTTGTATGATGACAGGGACAATGTTGTTTGGGACAAAGAACAGGAAAAAGTGGCTCAGCATAAGGTAGAGGAAAATTCAACAGTGTTGGCATCCGAAGAAGAAATTGCTAAATATGAATCAGAAGCTGACAAGTACTGGGATAAATTTTATGGTATCCATCAGAACAGGTTGGTGTAACTTAGCTTGTCAATTGATGACTTTTTCAAACAAAATTACAGTAACAAGTGTGATTTTCAATTGGATAGGTTTTTTAAAGACAGACATTGGCTTTTCACCGAATTTCCGGAACTAGCACCCAATGACGTCAAACAGGATAAATGCAGACCTATCAGAGTATTACCAGAATCACAAAGTGATGATGTGGTTCAAGAGAATAGTTTGGAAAGTATTAAATCTTCTCACAGAATCTTTGAGATAGGCTGTGGGGTAGGAAACACAGTATTTCCCTTATTGTTGTATAACAATGATCCAGATTTATTTGTGTACTGTTGTGATTTTTCACCCCTGGCCATTGATATTCTACGACAGAGTAAAGAGTATGATGAAAACAGGTACGAGTCACTTAAGAATTCAAATTAAAATTGGAAAAAATGTATGATTGTTGGTTTTTTTTTACAGATGTAAAGCGTTCGTTCTTGATGCTACTCAAGAAGACTGGAATCCACCGTTTGAAGAGAACAGTTTGGATATTATCATCATAATATTTGTTTTATCATCCATTAATCCGGACAAGTACGTGTATTACTTAATGTACTATCATAACTCTAAATTTCATTTAAGCTACATCTTTATGGTATTCTATTTGACAGAATGAAACACGTGGTAAAGCAAATTCATCGTTATTTAAAGCCAGGAGGATTAGTTTTATTTCGAGATTACGGTAGATATGACTTGGCTCAGCTTAGGTTTAAAAAAGGCCGATGTTTAGCTGAAAATTTCTACGTGAGGGGCGATGGAACGCGCGTCTATTTCTTTACACAAGGTAGTTGAAAGTTCACAAATATTATTCACGAATTGGCATACATAAGTACTGAATATTCTTGAAATTTATTGCAGATGATATCCGAGATCTTTTTATCGGCTGTGGATTCAGTGAAGTTCAAAATCTCGTCGACCGAAGATTGCAAGTCAACCGCGGTCGACAATTGCAAATGTATCGCGTGTGGGTGCAATGTAAATACAGAAAATTACCCTAATCAATACTTAATGTTTTTTTTTACGTTGAAAAGTTTTCACAATAAATTGTACATAATATTTACAACTCTGTACATGAATTATTTATCAAACTACGCTCTAACAACGCGAATACACTATTGTTAATATTGCAAAATGTAAAAATAGTAACTCGAACAAGCGAAAAGTTCACTTCTCGGCGCTATAAAATTGCAAGCATAAACGTAACGGGCGAGCAAACAAAAGCTCTCGACCGCAGAGTCGTGATGTAGGTATCGTGAGGCGAGTTTAATTTTACATTTGACGCGAAACCAGTTAATATTCTGTATTTCGTTCGCTTGTAGTGACAGTAATCGCGAATGCCACGTTTGGCGGCATGTATAAGTGGGACTGTAGAATTCAGCCAATTCATCCAAAATCAATGTCCACAGTCGTGATAAGAGAGTGGATGAAACTTAATCTGTTTTATTGTTCGTAACACACAAGTTATAAAAAAAATTATGCCAGGCATTGTAAGTGGGGGTCCTCCACCACCTTAGCGTGATAAGAAATCATTTTTTTGTTTCATTACGTATTTATAAATACTATTGAATACGAACGTACTGACATGCCAAACGCGTGGGGTGGGGCCATTATTGCACCAGACAATTTTACCTCCATCTTTGAGTGATAAATTTATGAGCATACATTAAAATTATGTTTTACATGCGATACAATAGGGATATCAATTAAAAAAAAAAATCATTTTCACGTATAGAGGTTGAATCCACATCGAAATAGCGGTTATTTGCAAATAGGACTACATTGAAGGTAAAATTATGTACAGCAATAATACTAGCTAATTTCAGTAGCAATTATTTTTAAAAACTTTGAGAAAATGGACGACGATTATAATAATATCGTACATCGGTAAATATGAAGTACACCAAACAAAAAGTACAGTTCGTCTCACACTTGCAAACAAAAGCTCTCGATCGCACAGTCGTAAAGGAAAAATCGGGAATCAACCGGCACTTCCTATTTTCCTAAAAAATTGTACTTCTCCTACGAATCCTCGGTCATGTATTTTTTTTTTTCTTTTCACACCCGAGCAAGCACGTCCATTGTAATATACACACATCAGGTGCAATAAAAATCCGAGCAAACACAAGCTACGTAACCAAGTTTGCTCTAACGACCGCTAATCCGTCCATACGGCGAGAGCTTTCATCATCATCATCGTTGTCGAGAGCCAAGCAGAATTCTGATTGTACATACCACCTCTACGTCGGAAAATCACCCAGCTTTGCGCGCCAAAGTCAGCGTCTGCAGAGACAATGCTCGCAACTTCATGCAGAGATAATATACTTAAGGTCTCGCAATTGCTCGGCCGGCTGACAGTCGCTGGTCGGCCCCCACGCGCGCGCGTTTAGATCATCCGGTATCGCTTACACTTACCGGTCATTGTTGTCATTCGCGAGTGCAGGTGCACTTTTGTTACAAAAAAACATTACAAAATTACTTTCTCTATTACGGTTTCATCCGCAAAAACGAACAACATAGTAGGTCCGTCTACCCTACATCCGTCGTGCAACCAGTTCGACCATGGCCGACAGCAATTCCATACAACTCACCAGTGTGGTAAGCTCAAGGGTGGTATAGGTATACATGCATCCTGTAGGTAACAAAGTTTTGCACGACGGCGTGTACAACATTCCCGAAATTTTGGATCTCCGGTGAGCTCAACAGTTACAGACAGTTTTGTACGTGGCGTGTTTTGTGGAATCTATGGAAATTTATTCGAGGGTTTCGTCGCGCATTTGTGGTGGTTACCATCATTATTGTTTTGCTTTTGATTTTCTGGATTTCAGAAACGGAATACCGTGCGCGCATCAGCTGAATGAGAAAAGCGAGACAAAAGGACATGTAGAATAACGTTTTGTAAACTTTGTACTACAGTAGTAGATTACATTTTCACGAACGTTACTAAACTGTGCTCATCATAATAATGTTAAATTAAATTGAAAAACGACAAGGAGTGGAATTCATTTTTTTCGATATCGTTGTATTATCCGTGAGATTAGAGCCTCGTCTTTTAAAAAAACACAGAAAAAAAGTTATTATTCAAGCTCAGCGCGTTCTTCGAGCAATCGTGCGAATTTATCCTTTTGAAATCTATTAGAATCAAATTAGATCAATTGAAGTATAGGCGGATGACGTGCATGTATCGGCGCGCCGTTGTCGACGAAGTGGCAAATGCACGCGATGCTCCCTCCAGTAGCGCGTTTAGTTGACAAAATCTATCGGCGATCAATGGGTAATTAATTAAAATGTTAATCGCACGAGTCGTTTAATTGCGACGCTAATCGTATATACTTCGAGTTGTTCGTTTTATGCTTGATAAAATTCCATCGAGTTTTTCTTTTACCGTATCCTGGAGTTTATCTAATGAAAGAAAAATTAAGGATGATTTTTTAAATAACATTACTATTCACTGGATAATTTACTGAAATGGAATTGCCTCCTGATGAATTTTGGTGTACAAACAGCAATATAGCCATTGTCTTGAACTAAAGCAAAACAAACTAAACTAATTTCCATTTACGACTTCGTGTTACAAATGAATAAATTAACAAAGAACTTCCTCATAAGAACCACCAACAAATATGATTTTACAAACGTCTTGAAACTATTTTGCGATACAAACACCAAAAGATCAAGAGTTTTGTCTTTGCCTCTCGAGGACATGGCCACAGCATTAGATCTCGAAAATTGAAGTAACTGTTTACACGAGAAGATGATACTCGAAGCGAGAGTTGATTAACAGCGAGCCAATACCATCATATGTTTACTTTAATTATACGCGCTAGTTCGGGCTTGGCTGCAATCTATATGATATACCTCGTACATACGACGAGTTTTCCAATTAGGTTTTAGCGATAAATTCTCACGTGCCCGCGCGAGCGTAATGTAAACCACAAAGTAAAGTCATGAGAAGCGAATTTTTTTTTTCACACGCGATTATTATACGATCAATCGAGAGGAATACCTTCTACATCCGGTTTTAAATGCAGAATTTTCGTTCACGAGGAAAATTTTACTAACCACAGGATGGCAGAAAAAAAAAATAAATAAACGAAATAGGTCGTTGCATGTGACTTTTGTCAAGAGTGGAGAAAAGTTTTTAATTTAATTTAAATGATTTAGTCTTTCTCTCTAACTTAAAATTGGAAACCTCTTTGGGCCTATGTGTGACTAGTAAAATTTACAGATTACATACATTTTTTTTTGTTTATTTATACATTATCTTTTGTTTGCAACATATATTCCTGTGGGTCAAAATATTGAAAAACGAAAAAAAATGTTGAAAAAGCGCCTTTTTTGCAAAAAAAATGTAATCACAAAAGTTGTAGACTTTGAAAAATATTTCTTTTAACGACGTTGAGTTATCAAAAAATGTTAAATTTTTTTTGGTTCCAAGACTTAATGAACATTAAAAATAGATAACACAATGTATTTTACCTGGTATTCTTCTAATAGATAATGACAGTATCGATGCCTTGGTCTAACTCAAAATTATTTTCTTGGAGATAATTTTGAGTGAGCGCTATCTTTGACCGAGGTATCAATATTGAGTTAGAGGATTAATTAAAACAGAAAATAATGTGAAATGTTTACCATTAAATTTATGTACATCACAATTACATACAAATGTAGTTTTTGCAGCTGCCTTTTTTCCAAAGATTCAATTCAATACTCTCGCGTTTTGCATACAAATTCGCGAATTTGTTTTCAATCCTGTAAATTTGTACACCCTTCAAAAGTATAGTTAATTTTTCAAAAGATGGATTTTTTTAAAAAACCTAGCACCATTTTCGAGATTCTATCTGTAATAGAATATCCATGCGAAGTAAAACAGCATTTCTCACAATTAAGTACATTAAAAATGCAAATCGCAAAAAAACAATGGGCAACTAAAAGCGCATAGAGATGTATTGATTTTCTTAATTCAGATAGCGACTTCAACTTCATATCTAGTAATTAGTAAGACAGTTAAGACAGTTACTGAGATTAAAAAAAAAAAAAAAAAAAAAAAAAAAAAAAAAAAAAAAAAAAAAAAAAANAAAAAAAAAAAAAAAGAATAAATCAAGAAACTAATTTTTCATGATGTTCAAACTAGAATATTGAGGAGAACGGGAGTAAAAATGGCGAAGCCAATGTGAATCAGGGTAAGGAACAGAATCGGAAGACAGACATCACATACGGGATCGACGATGTCCCGCCATGGTACCTCTGCCTCTTCATGGCACTGCAGGTGAGCTGCTTTATTAAAATTATATTTGAAAGAATTAACTGACTGGCGAAACAAAGAGTTCTACAATACAATAGTTATTCCAGTTGTATAACTGATTTTGTACACTACTGGTTTAGATAATTTTTAATATCGAATATTCAACTCCATCAGAAGAAGAGTCTGCTCGGCGAATTTTCGTAAAATGAGGGTGAATTGTGATTTTCAGCATTACTTGACGATGATCGGTGCCATAGTTTCCATACCTTTCATCCTAACACCAGCTCTTTGTATGGCCGAAGATGATCCCGTCCGCAGTCACATCATCTCAACCATGATATTTGTCACGGGCATCGTCACTTTTTTACAGACAACGATAGGATGCAGGTAAAAATAAAAAAGTTTTTGCTCCGCATCTACATGAACAGCAGTGACAGATTAAAGTATATAAGTGTAGGGCTACAATCGTTCGTGTCGTCGATTATGAACGTGGAATAACAAAAATTACGCACCATTAGCTTAAATTGTAAAAAGTTTAATTAATTTTTGTAATCCTGAGAAATCGGTCCAATTTATCTGTAACGTTTAGCGGTTCAGAATAAGGACTCGGTTACTGTTCGCTTTATCTGCAGCATCGACATTTGTTTGAAAAGTGATCTCAAAAGCAATTCAAATCCGTCCAGCTAATTGAAGCTAATTGCTCGAGAAAAAAAAAAAATTGCAATTTATCGGGTAACATGTACAGAAAAAAAAGCTTATACTTTCACAAAATTGTTAATTATAAAAAAATGCTTCTAAATTACAATCGTCTATCTTACGAGGTATAAAAGTAATAATTACGCAAGCTAAAACTCATATATTATTTATTCACGTCACCGACGAGGTATACAGTCAATTATTTGTTCAACTGCCAATGTGTTAAGGTAAATTTAGAATCAACTTTACAATTGATTACACGCGTCAAAAAGTTATCATTGATTATCGCCTTTCAATAAGCGCGAGCCAATAAAAAAACGACAAAAGCCTGCCGGTGTTGTATTCATTCATCTGCATGTACATTGTGCACGTATAGGTATAGTGAAACGATATAAGATAATTGGAAATTATCGATTCGATTCCCCAACCGATAATGCGGGCGTAAACCATTGATGGAGCAAAGTTTTCTGGCTGTAAAATTATATACACTACAGATGAACGAATGAATTTTCTAGTTTTTTTTTTTTTTTTTGTTCTTGCACAGTATGATAGGTATTTACAGAAGTTTATACGGTGCACAAGAGAATACAAAAAATTGAGCTCTCGCGCGCGAAGTCGTAAAATTTTCGCTCGATGTTTCCTTTGCGGTAGGTAATCGATTTGTGAAAAAAATAAGCAGCACAATTATCTGATCGCGAGAGGTATTGTAGGTTTTTATTTTTAATAGATAGCCATACAATGTTAATTTATTGATGGTGCACGCCATCAAATATCAGAAACTTACCTCTCTACCTATCTATTTTTCGCTCAAGGTGTTGAATTAGATTACAAAATGTTGTATTATCTAGTTGGATAAAATTTTTTCAAACATAAAGAAATAAATTTCAGTCCTTTAGTTGTTCTCTATTTTTTCAAGACTTCCACTGGTGCAAGGGGGTACAATATCGTTCTTGGTACCAACGCTTGCAATTTTGAATTTACCACAGTGGAAGTGTCCCGAAGCTTCGATTCTGGAGGCAAAATCGGCCGACGAACGGACCGAATTGTGGCAAGTGAGAATGCGAGAGCTTTCAGGTGCTATCGCCGTTTCTGCACTTTTTCAAGTTATAGTTGGATACGGAGGTATTTAGCAACTATTTGGGATGTCTAATCGATTACAATTTCATTGGTTGTTACAAATGAAAAATCAATTGTTCTAGGTATCATTGGGTATTTGTTAAAGTACATTACTCCTTTGACGATTGTGCCGACAGTTTCGTTGGTTGGACTGTCGTTGTTTGAAAATGCATCAGAAGTTGCTTCAAAACACTGGGGCATTGCAGCAGGGTATGTATTTTACATATAGGTGGAAGAGACAAGTTATCTCAAAAATACATTATGAATATAATCGTGTCATGTTTGTAGCACCATTATAATGTTGACCCTATGCTCTCAAGTATTAGTCAACATTAACGTCCCTATACCAGTATACAAGAAGGGGCAGGGCCTCAGAATCTCTTGGTTTGCTTTGTTTAAGCTTTTTCCGGTAAGTCGATCTCAAATTTACAGTTTATTTATTTTGCCAAGTAATTTAAAACAACAACATACAACGTAAAAAAGATGAATCAATTGTAAAAATGAAATTTTGATGAATAATCATGTGACGTTTTTCAAGGTACTACTTACCATTGTTGTCATGTGGATTATCTGTGCCATTTTGACTATTACTGATGCTTTACCACCAGGCCATTCAGGAAGAGCAGACACGAAATTAAATATTATCAACCAATCGCCTTGGTTTAGAATTCCTTATCCTGGACAATGGGGTACTCCAACTGTTACTCTACCTGGAGTGCTTGGTATGCTTGCTGGTGTATTGGCATGTACAGTAGAGTCCATCAGTTATTATCCAACAACTTCAAGAATGTGTGGTATCTGTCAACAAAATTCAGTTGAATTAATGAATCATATCAATAATACTCTCTAGCTTAATATGCAATGATTTGATTCAACAAGTAATTTCATCATACAATTTTACAGGAGCACCACCACCACCAGTTCATGCCATCAATAGAGGAATCGGGATGGAAGGACTTGGAACAATACTGGCAGGACTTTGGGGAAGTGGTAATGGCACCAATACTTTTGGAGAGAACGTAGGTACCATAGGTGAGTTGGTTTATTAAATTCTAGCAAAAAAAGATATAAAAGATATTTAGGATACGTTGCAACCGTCTTAAATTTCACATAGGTGTAACCAAAGTAGGGAGTCGTAGAGTGATACAGTGGGCTAGTGTACTGATGATTTTGCAAGGTGTGATCAGTAAATTTGGAGCAGTTTTTATTATAATTCCTGAACCAATAGTTGGTGGAATATTTTGCATAATGTTTGGAATGATAGCTGCTTTTGGTACGACTTAAAAATTTCTCTCATAACTTCAAAACACTACAAACAAAACAATATGAACATGATTGTTTTTCTACAGGTTTTTCTGCTCTCCAGTATATCAATTTGAATTCTGCTCGAAACTTGTACATCCTTGGATTCTCGGTTTTCTTTCCTCTGGTAATTTAAAATTGAAACTCTATTCGATAACCAGAGATACAATTTTGTATTTTCCTTACAGGTACTTTCAAAATGGATGATAAAAAATCCCACGGCTATAAACACCGGAAACGAAGTAGTCGATAGCGTTCTCACGGTACTCTTAAGCACAACAATTTTAGTTGGAGGATTCTTAGGATGCTTCCTGGACAACATAATACCTGGTAAGCAACATTAAACTACTGATAAAACGTTTATGATAAAAAACTGATGTAAAAAAAAAAAACGCGTCTACAGGAACGGATGAAGAGAGAGGCCTCGACGCCTGGGCCAAGGAAATGGAGTTAAACTTTGAGGTGGCTGAAGACGAAGTGGGTGGCCTTAAGACCGAGTACGCGTACAACACTTTCGATCTGCCTTTTGGCATGAGCGTTCTGAGACGGTAATACAATGCTCGTATAAAGAGAATTAAGATGTCCGCCGGGGTGAAGAAAGATACCCTAAGTGTTTAATTTGAGTCACGATTGTTTATGTGTTACACGTAGGTGGAAGTGGACATCGTACTTACCGTTTTCGCCGACCTACAGGCCAAGGCCATGTTGTTGGGGACTCCGTGCCAAAAACAATTAAAAGAAGATGAGATATGTGCGCAATGAAATTATATGCGGGATATTGGTGTGTGTATGTAGTGGTATGTATTATGCCGAAAGATTGTTGATGTCGCCGCCGCTGCCACCGGGTTACCAACAACACCACAAGCACCAGTGTATATATTACCACCACACCTTTATCGTCTCTTTTCTTCGAAAATAATGTCCAATTCGAAATGACGTAGGAGGTGCTCCGATTTGTACGTCACATCAAGCTTACATATATATATATATGTAGGATGAAAGTCCTCGAACTCTTCCTTCACGGATGAACTATCTCGTTAAACACGTAGCGTTTCCCGATAATTATCCCGTACTTGAACTTCCGTACATAGGTACTCAAGTATTTCCTTTTACGAACACAACCGTCAACACTGTACCGTTTATATCTTTTTTACTCTACTTCGATTTGTTCGGATGTTGAATAGAAAAGGAGGGCAACAAAAACAATGGTTTGCGGGGTGGTAGCGAATAATATCACGACGCTGTTTTTACATGTACTTACAAACTGGACAAATTTTCGCAGCACAAATAACTACAACGATTCCTCCGCCTCACTCCTTTACATCTATGCTTATTCTCAAATTCCCTTCAGTCTCTCACCACCGCGGCACCGCCATTGCCTCTTTTATCCAACCAGCGCGGGGCGAAGGGGGAGGATTCGACGCTCCCTCCGGCCGCTGCGCCCCTTTGATCGATATATTACCACTTATAGAAATATGTATACATATATGTATTAAATCACATCTCGACCTTGCGATTTTCGATACATAGTAGCTCATTTGAATTTTCTTAAGATTTAAATGACAGAGAGCATTAATAAAGTTAATGATTGTACCGGTTGTTTTGAAGCTCAAGTATCTGCTATTTTAAAGATTATTGTTGTTAATGGAGACTTGATTACTGTTACAGGATTGAAAATCGTTTATCTCATTACCGACTTAATTTTTACCTACACAAAAATAATCTACATATTGTGATCATTAGTGTTAACAAATGTATCTAAACATTACAATGATTAAAGCATGTTACAAATGTTTTGTAAGATACCGACATGTCTAGACACTACTACACTTACATCACCCTAGTTACGGAGTCTCGTCAACTTTGTCATCTGGCTGTACTAGCTCGTACTTCGACCTATACATTCGGACTTACATAAGAATTTAATTGAATAAAATTTTTATTAGCAATTGTTAAGTACATATTTGCCGTAACACGGCTACACATGGACTTACGTTAATTTTTTCCCAGTTAACAATCAGCGCCATCTGGCAAACTTAAAAAACACCATATTTCTTTCAAGAAATTTCCTAGTGACAATTACTATAGGCTAGTGAAAATTGTTCGCCTGGCAGCGTGGCAGCGCTAATATATTATAATTTATTCTATTCTATAGAATTTATTTTCTCTAAATTGTGCACTTCAATCAAACTTCATTGCATGCGCTGTTCAACTGAAAGAACGACGGCCCATAAGATATTATTTGCTAAGCCCTGCTGTACCGACGACACTGTGAGACCCCTTCTATACCGACATCGTCGGGAGAGGTCGATAAACGAGAAGAAACAGATATCGGGTATACCGACAGTCGACATTACCTAATATAGATAATGCATATACATGAACGGAACCTTTATTATCTATGTCGGATGACGGTAATGCAGGTATCTGCGACAATCACTTATCGATCGTCGGTATTGTTACATTTGTATTTATATTCATATAAATTTTCCAAGTGAATTTTTATGAAGTGAGCGTAGGGTCTAACAAATCGGCTCCAATAGACCCTCCGCTTCGGACACTTAGTGAATTTTTAGAAAGTGAGCGGAGGGTCTAATAAATCGGCTCCAATAGACCCTCCGCTTCGGACACTTAGTGAATTTTTAGAAAGTGAGCGGAGGGTCTAATAAGTCGGCTCCAATAGACCCTCCGCTGCGGACACTGGCCTAGTAAGTTTTCCTAGTGAATTACTTTCGAAAGAGATATGGTACTTTTTACTGCGAGCACACCAACATGGTTTTGGTTACATTTTTCTGTATGTAATGATCAATTAAATTCATAAAAAAATTATAAGTCAGTATATAGTTTTAACTTTTCAAATACTTTTAATTTTATTTGTGTGATTGGATAAGTGATTAAATGCTTGAAGTGAATATTTCACAAAGTTCCAAAGTGGTAGACGACTATCAGCAACACACGCGCAACAACTCCATGTTACTTTCAATAAGAATATGTAAACAAGAGAAATTTTGCGATTGTTGGAGATTTAGTTTTATTTATTGTGAATAAAGTTTTATTAGTAAATAAATCATCATGGCGAACATGATAGATATGATAACGGTAATATGTCATTTGTATTGAAACACTTTCTATGCTCAGTCTTTTAGATTAATTAGTGATTTTTAGCTGTTTAAGGTTATATTATTCAAACGAAAATTAACGTTTATCATTTTTGATTCAGGGAAGAGTCCAACATTACTTGACATTACCAATGGTTCAACGGTGCTCAGAGCTTACTACGCTTATTAATGAATTAAGCACAAATGAGTTGCAACACATCTTTCCAATGCTCATTAATTCTATATTTGGTCTATCTGGCGACAATGTTGGCTGGAGTCTTCACACTTTGACATTGAAAAAAAATCCTTTGGATTATGAGATCCTGTTGAGTTTTTTAAGCCCAATGGGTCCAATGTTTTCCCTTGTTTACAAACTACTGCCTGATTGCTATTTGAAATACAATTTCTCAGTATCTTATCTGCCAGTAAGTCTGGTCTTTTATATACTATGATACTGCAATCTGATAAACGTACCAATGAATGAAATTTACAAGTTAATGTTTGTTCTTAGGCAAAAATCAGACTCATGCTAGAAGAGGGAATCATTCCACCATTCTACTTGGACAAACTCAAAGATGATGGCATTCGTCCGTGTGCAGTTTTGTGTATGAGTATCCTTTTAAAAAACTATATGATATACATTTTACGATGTATACTCTTGAGCTCATGAAAATCTTGCAAATCTCTTTACTTTCCTTAATAATGTGCATATCCCTTTGAGTATTACATCTTTCATTTTGTATTTCATCTAACTAATCCCTGGTTACAAGTCCCACCACAAGAGAGTATTTTTTCATCCTATGACACTGTATATTTTGAGCTTGCCAATAGATACTTGTGTCATTTTCTACCAAAAGATAATTCACCAGTATTGCCTATTATTGGTCCATACATCAAAAAAACTTCTTCAAGAAAACTGATGCAGTCACCAGACGTAAAAAGGTATTATTAAAAAATAAAAAGGACTTTTCTTGCAATTGTCGATATCATTTCTCATCTGCTCTTTCCTATAACCATTAGAATGCAAACTACACGCCTTCTAAAAGCAACAATAGTCAACCCTAATTCTATGAGCCCTGAAAGCGGTGTACCACAACAGCAGCAGTGCTTATCACAGGTTTGGAGAAGTGAAACCCTTGTACAAGTTATCCTTGATTTTTGGCTAGAGTTTACAGAAGATGAACACTTTTCTCTCAATTCAAGTTTATCAGTTCATGGGAATTTGCCTCGAAAAGTATGTTGATTAATTGAGATACTAAAGATACGAATAAAATTTCGATATTCAACTTATCTCTACCTTTTTTCAGAGTTGTAAATATACTGCTGAGCATATGCGTCTTATCAGACAGTTTATAAAAATTCTGTATAAATTTACAAATAGTTTTATCAGCGACGGAAGTGCCATGGATGAATTAAAAAGGTACACAATATAACATTAAATTTTGCGTCATCAGTAAAAGTGATTTTTTATTAAATACTTTTGTATTTATAGAGTAATCCTGCCATCTGTGCAAGGAAAAATTTATACATTCTTAAGCAAAACAATGCAGCATTGGCCACTTGATGGATCGTTTATAAATATCTTGGAAGTTTGGTTGAGTTTTATACAGCCATGGAGATATGTTCCAGCTATCTCATACCTGAAACAAGGGTTTGGTTTCTTTGAATTGGAGAAAAAAATAACAAAATTATGAGCATGACAAGAATTCATTGTTTAAATTGATTTTCAGGCAAACAATCAGAGAAGACAGAAGAGCTACTACGATTCGCGACCCTGTTGATTGGATATCGTTTGTTGCTCAGAATTTGTTGGCATACACCGCAATTTTTCAACAGCTGCTACAGCGTTTTATGAGACTCGATCTAGTCGCTCCGAAAAATGCTAAACAATTGTTCAGAGTAACAAAGGTATTCTCTCAACCTCACCTGGCAAATATGTTGCGGGACGTGGAAAACTGCATTGACGAGGTTGCATCGATGCGCAATCGCTCGACTAATCAATGGACAGGGATGATTCGCCAGCAGATTCACGATCTGGAAGGTCCATCTTATCAGTATGTACCGATGTTTTCTCAGGCTACTGTTTCCCAGGTGAGTATACATTGAGATCCCGAAAGTCAAAATTTTTCATTCTCATTTGTGATGTGGACTTTGCAGGTGATTTGTTTTCTAAATATGATAAACCAGGCGTATTCTACTTCAGTGAGTTTAGTAGATGCGTTAGAAAAACAACGGGTAAATAAAGGATTCTTATCATCAATCTGCGAATTTTTGGGCATTGAGAGTAAGTCTGTCAATGATGTAAGTCTTGAAACGCGCAGAGAGGTACCGGATTACCTTGCAAGCGTGAGGATTCAATTGATAGAGATATTCGAGGTAGGCCAGGTACTACTAACCCACTAACACTTTAATTAATTAAATTATGTCACAAGCGATACTTGCATTAAATATATGCTACTTTTTTGTTTTTTTTTAGATTGATGAAAACGCTATTCCTCATGTTCCTGCTGTTGCTGACCAGGAATACCACGAGAGCGTGTTGCAGACGTCACATCATCATCCATCCACAGTACGTATTTCATTAAATTAAAATACTTTTATACGTATCAGTTCATTATAATTATCACGAATTATTTTTTCAGCTCGACTCTAGTTTCAACTCAAAAAGACCGGGCGTTTTTGTCCCTGTACCCGATAGCCGTCAAAGTTGCAGATACATCGAGTACATGGGTGATCCCGAATTGCAACCAGTTTGTAGCTACGAGATCGCATTCTTGGTTCGATTATTCTACAAATTGAGCAACTACTTGAATACAAAGGTGATAATATATTGAATTGAAAAATTTTGCCCTAACCAGATAAAATAATGAATCTCGGTTGTTTGCATTTAGTATCGGCAACAACTAACGGAGACCTACAATCGGGAGACTTTTCTCGGACGAGTCACTCGACAGATTTTGCAGCCTCCGACGACCGTCGTGCAATTGCCAAAACGCACATCACAAGGATTTTCGTCTGGATACGAAAAAAGATTACCACCGCATGTCAGTCTCCGGTCGGCTGCTAGTTATCATTTTCTGGTTTATTTGGCCATCGGAATGTCCGTTTTCTGGATGCTTAGGTACCCGTTGAGAACAGTAGTGTTTATTTCAAATTATTCTCAAATTGTAAACTTCTTCAATGAACCGTCTTGTAATTTCAGTTTCGGAACGACTCAATACTTGGCTTTCTTACTTTCTCTTTGGACATTTATAGTATTATTCAAGGCTGTCACTGAGCCCTGGAGGACCAGATGCACGACTGATTTTTCTCACAGAGTTTCCTTTTCAACTAGCTTTTATTGAAAATGCAAAGTCAATGTTTCTTCTGTTTTTTGCAGAGATAGTCATGCCAAGTGATCACTGTATTCCTTCAAAGAAATTGTGATTATAAATAATATCTAACATATATTTTTTGCTAACTGACTGAAACGCGTATTTTTATAAAGAATGAAAAAATATGGAACAATTTAACTTTTACTTTTTATAAGGAGACAGTGTTACACATTAATACACGTTTTACGTGAAAGTTTATACTCCGTACAATTGTGTGGACAACATCGTCAGGAACATGATCGATCAATTATTTATTGTAAGCGCCAAGATTCGATATTCTGCGCATACTGGCAGCTTAAACCACATGTTCATTAAAGCATTCGTTACCTTTGAACTTCTCGTAAAAGTGAAATTAATACTCTAATCGATCGGATGCACTAACAAAAAAAATTTTTTAAACGACGGAACATTTAAGACAATATATAATTTAATGTAATGATTAACGCTTAATAAAACTTCCTTGTCGTTGCAGATGGTTTTACTTGAATATTTTTGACTTGCTACACTTATTAAATATACATCTAATGACTAAATATCAACCGATTGTTCTCGGCAAGTCCTTATAGAAGCATGAAGGTAGCTCATGCAGCAGTAAAAAAAAGTGCAATCTTGAAAAATTGGTTTTCTTCAAACTAGCGTCACTACTGCTGTTACACTTGAGATTAAAAGAAAAAAGAAGTTTCAACTTCCAATAAAAAAAAAAAAAATAACTCCGTAAGATCCTTTATTTCATTTTAGAGCAAAAAATCGTAAAGGCAGATCGCGAGTGAGGAACCTGCTGTTGTCGCACTTGCTAGTTTATAACACATATCCACTTTGGACCGTTTTATCTGAGGTAATTGTGCGAGCATTGTCATAACATTAATTTATTTCGACGCATCGAAGCGTTCAATATGCCCAATGTTGAAGAGGGACGCGTACTAGTTGTTTATTGAGCTTGTTACTCGTTGAATGGAATCGAATCCAATGCTTGATCCCGTCTGTAGTGTCTGATAGTCAGTGTACAGTGTATACGTTGGTCCGAGTCCGAGCGATTTTATCGTCCATTGGATATACAGGTATACCTCGGTGGTATGACGATTTCGAGTGTGAATTTGCGATCGGGAGTAAAACTTTCATCAAAGTCCAGTGGAAGTTTACTTTTTTGTTTTTACCTTTCATATGGTTTTATTGTACGATCATAAAATAACTAAAATAACTTTTTTTTTCGGAATTGAACAAAATCAGATCAAGCAGACAAATGTAATCTTGATGATGATAATAATTGATTAAAATTAGCATCACCGTCGTTGTAACGAAAGCACGTAATATTGTGCTCATCCAAAATATAGAATTGATACTCTCCCGGGAAATCATCATCAAGCAACGCGCTTCATTATTCCCAGCGTCAAAAAAAAATCCTATAAATGTGCCACGATATTTAATATTTGCCATTTTTCTTCTTCTTTTTTTACAATAAATAACTTTTCCAAGATTACCACATAGGATTCTGATCCGTGACGTACTTGGCTGAAGATACGTATTACTTTTTCGCACGTGCCATCGTTCACGTAGTGCGTAAGCAAAATCGGAGGAGGGATAATAAATTAATATCGCATACACGCACTCACAAAATTTCGAATTCGTTTCACGTAAGCACCAAGTTCCACGAAAATAAGTATCCACATTTAGGGTCCAAGATATTTATTGGGCATTTATATATAACGTTAAAATGTATTGTTAATCGGTATCTTTGATTAAACATTTTCGTGAAAAAAAACATTTTTAAAAAAAACGAAGTTTTCAAATAAAAATTTTAATCAAAATTTTGAATAACCACGCAAAAACGTACTGTTGGCGCGAAATGATTTCAGTAGAAAATATAAAATTTCATGCAAAAGAAAAGTGTACATATATTTTATGAATTTGTAAAAAAAAAAGGATACTCTTAAGGTTTTTTTCTCATTGTTCATCACTTCTTAGTATAAATTTCGGGACCCATACACATAAAATATGCAAAAAAAAAACCACCTACAATCTCCCGTGGTTTCCCTTGTTATACTCGGCTCATTTTTGAACGTCTACATCCTCGTTAACAAGCTCACGCAAGGAAATCCCATTTTTTTCCATCCTCGAACGCACGAAACCCGCCATGCCGATTTTTATTTTTACCCTCGAGGAAAAAAAAAAAAAAAAAAAAAAAAAAAAACCCGTAGGCCTCGTACTTGACCACGATCGTCATTGCTCGAAAGTGTTCACCAGAAGCCAAAACACGCGAAGGTGACCAATTGGCGGCAATCTCGTGTAGTTGTAACATTATACCTATTGATACATATTAAACTTGCGTGCGAACCCCCACATCCCGTCTACTTTTGGCCATCAGCGGATCACCGGGACACGACGATGATATTTCGTCACTTATTATCTCTCAGAGTTCCCCTCGAATTTTGACGCCTTCGATTTTCTCTATTAATAAATTATCGGCTGGCACGCGTATACGAGGGGGTGGGGGTCGAAATTTCGGTATAAAGTTGATTCAACTCGTGCGACTTTGTCTCCCGAATTGAAATAAATATATTTATATAGGCACAAGTGCACGTATTGACTACTTTGTACCGTATATGAGTTCATTGAGACACAAAATATCGTAAAGGGATAAATATGATTTATTATTAAATTCGTGACATTTTAACGATCGGTCAAAGTACCATTAATTTGTAAGTATCACACGTTCGTTCTATGAAAGCTTGTCTCTGTACGAGATACGTATAGAACGAGACGAAAAAAAAAAAAACACTTCGCAAGATTAATAAAAATAATAAGTTATAGTATGCACGCAACACCCATCATTCTCCCCCATAGTGCTCAGCAGATATGTCTTGGTTATAGCGCTTTCTTTTATCTCTCACCTCAAATTGATACCATAATTTTTTTTTTTTTTTTTTTATCTCCGCTCTCATAGCTCTTCGATAGAAATATCCTCTTACTCTGCTCATCATATCCAATTGCGTCTACCACACGGACCATTATTCGTTTAACAGGCCGGCAATCAAAAATTCTCCCAAATGGTTATTGTTCCATTCCATTTTTTTTTATTCTACCTCATGGGCCTATATTTCAGGAACTTCATAAAAATATATAGGTAGATTCGATGATTGCCTGCATAATCTAACCAATCGATTTGCCTCTATTGCCGCATATGTAAATGTGCACATATTTAATAAGAGCGAAGAAAAAAAAAAAAAAAAAAAACTTGTGTACTTATCTAGTTGGGGAGACAAAGTAACGCGAGAGTCGCCGTTGTACGATAAATCCCAAATACAAGCACGAGACAAGAAACGCTTGAGAAAAGGGGGGTGGGGGGGGGATTGTTAATGCGCGCACTGGAAGAGTATCTGGTGACCCTAGGAGCGCTCCGAAACCTAATTATAAAGCGACGGACTGATGGGGACGAGTTACGCGCGTGTCTGTAGTGGTATATACGTGTGACGTGTATATAATATTTATGTGTTTTGGAGATATACATGAAAATATTAAGCAAATATTAAGTTGGCGATTGAACGCGTAACGTAAAGTATGGGAACAATACACTCGATCGATCCTTCAAATTGAATTCTTTTGATTTCTAATGAATAAATGAGTTTCCTAATGGGTACAATCGAAGCCGACTTTTTCCCCCAAGTTGATCCATTTTACTTACGTACATCGCAGAGCCAAGTTAGGTATATACTTTACGACTGTATATATGATATCCTTAGTAAATTAAGATTGAAATCTTCTCGGGCAAACTTTTATTCTCCCAAGTTCTAAGGACTGGGCACGAAAAGAATGTATTTATGAGGAAATTTCTCTCTCTGTTATCTAATACATAATCTAGTAGGTCTTTTACATTCATATAAATATCGTGCTACAATATCTTCGATTTCCGGGAAGATGGTTTATAGTCCTTGTAAGAGGAAAAAAAAATTGTATAAAAATCTTAAGAAAGAAGTTAAAAAATTATGACACAAAAAGTAACATCTTACAGCATATTTATTTAAAAATGATTTTTTCATACGAGTATCCAACTTACAAAATATGCACTGCTCAGTACGTAGTGCCCAGAGTATCTTATTGATAAAACGCGCAGACTCTGCATGTATACAAAGGACATTGATCAATAAAATCAAATGAAATGCAATGGACATTGGCCTCCTGTTGCAGAGTATACAGCATTCGATTTCAAAGTCAAAGTGATCTTCTTTACGCGACAGTAGTTTTACCTCAATGAAAACGAATATTCATGGTACAAATGGTACGGCCAACGAAAAAAAGTCAGAAAGGGGTTTAAAAAAAAAAAAAAAATGGTCAGACTAATGCAATTGTTCTCTATATACGTCAAAGGGTAAAATTTGTCGAAACAAGGCTGAATCGTGTACTTATTTATCTCTAAAATCAAGAAAAAATTACGTGCTTTCAATGGACCCAAAGTCGACACAATAGGTTATTGGACAAAGGTCGTACTGTAAACGTATTAGCATTAACGAGGTTCATACATCATTTCTTTAGTTACAGTCGCAGAAACAAATTCTACGGTAATATCAGGGCGTTCCCTAATATCCATCGCATTACAGAACACAAGGCAGCACGTAAGTAGCATGTTTTTTCCCTCTCCTCGATACTTCTGTGGCTCCTATTTTTCACATTATATTAAAAAACAATGGTGAATATGCTATTCCAGGAGAGGCCGAGTGAATTCCCCTTTGAATTAGATCGCTTTTTTCCCCAAACGTATTGTACGAATCACATCACGAGGTTTGTTTTCCGAAAGATGTCCAGAACCAACGGGGTTACCGGCTAAAACCGCCGAGTGGATTATTTACTTGTTGACAAACGAAATCAGGACCTTCGGAGAATAAAGTTCCAAGCCCGCTATCGAGACTGAAAAGAGAGAAAGAGAAAAACCAGGAGGGCACGCGTGCGTGTATACACGAGAGAGAGCTGCGGGAAACTTTTTCCGCAGGCAATTTCATTGGGCAACGGGGCGAAGGAGGGTGGAAGGAAAACTTGGCCATTTTCTCCCGAAGGGACCCCCGAGCCAGAAGCGACCAGTTCGTTAACAACGCAGCGGCACCTCTGCCAGGCTCGGAGAAGGAAAAGAATCCAAGTACGAAAATTGAATTCCACTCGGCAAACTAATGCGACGGGGAGAAAAATCGGCAGGTATGGGTGCCTCGACTCTGTGTATAGGTATACAAAAGCGTGATTTCCGTCAAGGCCTCCGCGCGCGCGCGCACGTAACGCACATGCAATTTTCGAAACGCCCCCGTTGTCCGACAGTTAAAGGGACAATCGGCCCGGCTGAATAACCTCGGGTCAAGCTTCGTTGAAGACTCGTTGGAAACGTCTTTCGCTATTGTTTGAAGAACCTCCCCCACCTCCTCCTCCTCCTACTTGCGCGCCGCATTATATTGTCCCGTAAATTGACACTTTGTGCCGTTTCTTCCACGTTCATTTCTCAATGCTCCCCGTGCGCATGTGTTATTTTCTAATATTATGTTGTGTCCCATCGTCTGACTAGGAAAGCTTGCGTGCTTATCGATTTTGTACCAACGATTGGTTTCATTTGACGATTCATCGACATTTGGAACTATTCGTTTGCAATCCTACGAGATGGAAGTACACTTGGCTTGTTCGACGTTATTACTGTTACACATGTACCTATGTGCCATTTGAACTATTTTCTTTTTCTAATGCAATATCGATAAAATACACTCTTCTTTTTAATACAGTAATCAAAAATGATGGCAAAACCAAAGCAACGCATAGGTATTGAACAATATTTAAAATTATACCCTCAAATGCAGCCCTATACCTCAGATGTCGAGCGTGTATCATCGCAATTTCCGTGTGCGTGTGCTATACACACACGCTTTGGATGCTGCGTCGATTTTTCTACTCCAAATACAAAATCGAATGCGGACAAAACGAGATACGTCGCGCCGTCGTTATTTGTACATACCGTTGGAGCAATCACAGCACGGCATGCATACCTACTCGCCCATACGTACGGAGGATAGCGAGGGAAAATATACATTTGCACGCGGGGAAGTAGCGGGAAAATTGTCGCGTGGGGAGGGGGGGAGTTATAAGCACATCATTTCCCTTTTCACGACGCTGACCCAATTTGCGCTGTACCTATCATGCACGAACGTTTAATCGCACGCGCGTCCGCGCTCGAGTTATGCCATACAAGAATCAAGTATTGATTGCGATCGAGTGTTTTGATTGGAGGGGAGCGAGCACTTTTGTTTGTTTGTTTACGCGTATGGGGAAAAAAAGCGCGATATTATCGGTACATCTCCGGGTTTTTTCTTTTTCATCAGTTTTCATTTTTCTCCCAAAGAAAGATGCAGCGTGTCAATTATACACCCTCCGCGACGATCTGACGGGGTCGTTTCACGTATAGAGTAACTAATTCAATTGCTTAATTTATTTTCCAAAGCATTTTTTTACTTATCCAAATCCATCAGTGTAGGATAATTGTATTGCACCATATTTGAACCAATACTTGTATTGCACCATTTTGTGTGCCCGTGTTTGTCGAATGTATCGGTAAAGTGACAATGGAGAGTTTGTGAAAGTAAACTTTTGAAGAAGTTACGAAAAAAAAAAAAAAAAAACTTTTCTCTTTGCTCCGAGGGGCTGAGCACTCGAAAGTCCCGACGAGAAATCTTTTGAGTAGACTTTGAAAAGCCTCCGCGTGTGTCTTTAAACGACTCGAAAATGGCGCATCCTCGCGCTCCATGATATATATGTATCGAAGAAATCCATAAAAATTCCTGTGGTGAACCTCTGCCCTTCTCCCCTTGATGAGCTCCCATCCGAAATATCACTAAAAAATCGCCCTCTGTTATTACAGACGATCCAAAAATACACCGCATTCATATTTACTCCGTCAACAAGAGCCTTGCGGCGAGAAGCGATGAAAATACGCTCGATCCGACAATCCGATGCTCCTAATCTAATCGATGCGGGGCCGCAGCTACGTTTTTCAAATGTACGCGCAACTGTTTGGATAACTCGATGGTTAGCCCATATACATGTATAGGTAGGCTTTTACATCGCGTCGTGTGATTACGTTCTTGTTTTCACGCCGTCTCGCCTTGTCCTACACGCGCCATTGTGTTTTCGGATGAAAAAAAAAAAAGTGAGTTTTGTGGGTTTGCACGGATCAGTCGTACATTACGCGGACAAACTTTTCGAGGCGTCATTCATGCAAATTTCACTTCATCCCGCGTCGACAGCTGCACCGCGCGACCCGAAATGAGTTCCGCGCGCCCAACTTTCGTTTCGTCTGTAGCATCTCTTGTTGTTCCATCGGCTTCGAGTGCCATGTATAAGGTGTCCGCGAAAACTTTGATGAATTTTCTTTCCACGTCTCTCTCTGTGTGTGTGTGTGGGGGGTAGGGGGTGTACGTACTATTTACGAACTTTGCTGGGCTTGAAGACGCGTGGGCATATGCAACACAAGACGTTGCAAGTATAGAAATCCTTTCCTCCCGATCAACATTGTCGACTCAACTGATGCTTTAAATAAACCTCGTTTCAAGTGGTACGGGTTACTCTTCGAGCAGACGTTCTATCTACATCTTAAAATATTACGGTGCAATCACTTTGAATTTCACCCTCTGTAGTGTTTGACGTGGCTATTATTTTCAGGAAAAAAAAACACACACACAAACGCCTATTGTACGATTTTCGGTGAGCCTTTTGCGAAAAAAAAAACGTTTATTATACACCTATACCGATAATATGTAAAGGTATTGGCTTCAAAGTAGTCAGAATTTCGGAGGATATAATGATTCATCTCAAGAAAATCTAACGTATTGGATAAACAGTCAACACGACGATTTGGTAAAAAGTCGTATTTTGTTGACATTATCGCCAAGATCAACGAGTACAAAAGGTTGTACAATTAACGCTATCATCAACAACGAATGTCATTGTTCCCAGTTTGTACATCGTTGCTTACCTCCTCGAATAGCCGAACGAAATAATATTTCGTGGTGCTGCAATACAGGGTATTGAAAAAGTTTCGAAAGTTACAGGAATCGAGGCTATACTTATCTATACCTTGATATGGAAAGCAGTATAATTATGACCGATTAAGCTATGCATAACTGTACTTAGCACGAACTCTCTTTGTAGGGTCTCGTAATGTGGAAAGCTAAGTGAAAATACGCGAGACCTTGGAATCTTCGGATTGCGTCACGTTAAGTACTACGTTTTGTCTTTGATGCACCCATCGTGTAATATCAAAGACATGGCAAAAAAGACGAATCCTCTGTCACGCGATGACTCTCTTTGATTCTCATTGCACGCGTGATAAAAGGCTAGAATTAATCACCGAAGCGGTGAAGAAAAAGAGAGAAGAAAAGGGCCCCCCTCGAGCGAGATAACGAAGAGGTTGATGAAAAGAGAAAAGTTGTCGAGAGGGGAATTACTCGTGTTTCGATGATAAGCTTCTCTGCGCCGTTTATTAATCTCTCGGGAGCGCCTCGAAAGTTTGGTTATTGAAATTCTTCGCTGCCCCGGTGCTCTTCGTCCTCCGATATTAATAAGGTCCGCGGTATCACGTGTATATATAATTTTCAAAATGTAACGGAGGATGTATATGGGAAAAATCGGAAAATACACGTGTTACACGTTTTTGATAACGAAAGGGCGTTCATCTGCCCGAATGTGTTCCGTGAGATGCCAAGGTAAAGTATATTACTACCTTGTGGAAAAGCCAAAACAACGGTAATAATCACAACAGCCGAGCGCGAGTGAAATCGGGTTATCGTCGTTTCGTAATTTTAGACGCAAGGCGTTCAACCGTAAACACCCCGAGCATCGACTCACAGTTTGACGATTCAAAACTCAACAAAAAACAACGAGGGATGAATCACCGATCGTTCCCTCCTACAATACCGATTCGCACGGGTGCCTTTTACAAAAATGGCCCCGAGAACATTCACCCGCACTATTTTCCCGACAAACATCATTTCCGCGACGCTAAAACAGTTCAGCTTCCAAGTGAGAAAAGATAGGAAAAAATAAAGTTTAAAGATCCAAGGGACGTGGCGAGTCTCTCTGCTCCCCGTTTCCCGCTTCCCACGGCGACCCACCGAGCGCCGGTGTACATTATACCGAGCCCGCCAGTCTCGTTTGTGCCGCTGCTCCGACGACACGGTCAATTCAGTCCGTGTGTATCGTTCACTCGTACGGGAGCTTCCGAACCCCTGTGTTATACATAGGCACGTGCATTTATTACCGATATTTAGTGTGCAGCTGGAGGGGCTTGAGTTTTTGCTATGATAATGATCGGGGTGTTGTGAAAGTGGTTTTATTGTGGTGCTGAAAAAAAAAAGATATCCATCAAGACGTAGTTGGCTTTTCTTTGGGGCAACCTTGTGTTCCAGTTGGACGTCGCTGTGCTCGAAATCGGATATTTCGTTGGGAGGTGTTATATTTATCGCTTCGAGGTACATGTTGTTCATAATTTTTGGAACAAACTGACGCTTGATGTGACTCCCCAGTTTTGAACTTTCGCGCTTTTCTTCTCGTGCATTCGAGTATAAAAAGATGAATCGCAAAGTTAAATGGAATTTTCAATGTAATTTGGGGCGATGAGAGAGAGAGAGAGAGAGAGTGACAATTTTTATTTTATATATTCAAGACTTTGGGTTTACGCGAAATAAATATTCGTTGACAGTTGAGACTTCGTCAGTTATAATTAACTGGCGTGCATTCGATGTCACAACCATATTTTTTTTTTCTATAATCTCTTTTACTAATGGTCGAATAATTGATTTGTTAACTGTCCCCGATTGATAATTTATCATATTTAAATCCAGACTCGTTAACAGTTAATGGCTGCGGCTTTGATACAAAAGTAATCATTTCTTTCGGTGTCAAAAGAGGTGTACAACTCAAAGTATCTTTGCTCAATTTTAAGTCGATTTCACACGGGCAACATTAGAGAGTAAACTCATGCAAAAGAAATCAGTTTTCGGTTCGTCGTATTAAATTTATAAGGAATAGTCATTTCATAGGTTTGTACTGTCTTTTTATAACCGAATCTTGAATTGACGATTCAACCCGTATGATTGATACTCGTTGAAACTCTGAAGCCAAAAGTCCACCTTCACTGTTTGATTTTGAACACTTTTAAAGACTTTTACCGTGGTATAATTAACATGTGATCAATAGTCATCTTTTGCACTTTGAATGTTTTTTTACATTTTTTAAAAACGACTCGGTCTAATGACAACATCATTTATTGCCGTGGGTGGAAAACCGCAACATTTCGGTCTCTTGTGCAAATTGATAATTTTCCTTTCTGCCCGTAAAATGTAAACAAAGCTTTAAACAGCATTTTCATAGCCTCCTTCCTTTCGAACGATCGCGATCATACTCGAAGAGCCTGAAAAATTTGTTACTCTTAGTGTAGATCTGTTTTTTTTTCTTTTTTATGGGTTTTAAGATAAACTGTCCCGTGAAAATCATAAACTCTGCACGATCACTTAGATAATGCGAGAAAAAAGTTCAACCACATTCTAAACGTGACATTGTGTTATGTGTGAAATTTAAATTCCATAAGTACGTACTCGAATTTTAAAATCAATTGATTTACACTCAATTGGTGGGCTTGAGACTATTGGATAACTTTGTCGTTGTATCAGATCTCGATGGTTGGCATTAGAAAAACTTTTATCGGAGGGAAAACGTACCCCAACATTTTTACGACAAAAGACTAATACAAAAGTTGCAGATCTGTAAAAAAAATACTTGTTTTCGTAAGATATGGTGCAGATGGTATAAATAGTACAATAAAAAGAGAAAAATCGCTTTGAGCCAAAAAAAGAAAAAAAATGGTTTAAAATAATCGAACTTATTTTATGTATGTTGTAACTACATTTTTTGTTCTGATGATTGATGTACACGTCATTAGTTTATGTGCAAACGCGCAGTTTTTTTTGTCATCAAACTACCCAGTGGTGTCAAACGTCATCCTTCAAACGAAAATATTGACTTCACGATAGCATAATCAATTGATAACGTACAACAAACTTATTTGCGACCTATGACGTACTTGAATAGAAAAAAAAAATCGAGGAGCCTCATTTACTGTAAACCACACCTTCTCCTATCAGTCGAAAAGTGATCCATTATTACAATTGATGCAACAGGGAGTAGGATACCTTACTTGTAATATTTTAATCTGGAAAATTATCGTATATATATATATATATATATATATGATTATTATTATAAATAATCGGCGAATAAAAGACATGAAGAAATGCCAAAGTGTTTCAAGTAATTAACATAGGCATCTTTGCTGCTCTTCCACGTCATTTAATGCACTTTCAGTACGTCTTCGGGTGTTTCGTGCGATTTTTTCCTTACACTCATGGTGCCGTAAGCCAATAAAGCCATGAGTACTTCATTAGTATACCTTGTCGTTGTAACCAAAAAACTAAAACACTAACAGTCTGAGAACCATTTTTTCGTCCACGTGGTACGTACAGTAAAAATAATCAACTCAATCCAACACGTGGTACATTGCCACCCCATTTGTAAGTACAATTTTTTAAGTAAACAGTCCAATGGAATGTTTGAATGATCAGTTGTACATTGATTTTACTTTCCGGATGTAAGGATGAAACTCACCAATGTTGAAACGCGATACTACGCCCCATGTAGCGTATACTTGCGATTTTTCTCTTGCATAACGCTGCAAAGTAACCCATCAGGTGAGAATCACCTCTGCCGCTTGTTAGAGACATATTTTAATGTCGTCCGCGTAAGAACTACCTCCCGAGTCCAAGGTGAGAGTGAAAGTCACGTGGGCGATGAAATATTCCCTCGTGTGTGCTGTGGAGGTGATTTTTCAATCCGAAATGGAACAAATCATTCTTTCGCCTACAAAAATAAGATAATGTTTAACGAGTATCTAAGCTTTCATTGGTCCGGCAGTGATTTGATTTCAAGTGGGAAATCTATGAACTGGATTCGGAGGTGAAGCTTTAGGGCACTTATTTAATTGTGAACAAAACTGAAAATTAAAAAGTTTCAACTTTTCTCACTTTTTTTGTAAGAGTTTCGTGCATAATATTAAATTCACTCGAGGTGCATATTTTGATCCTTGGAAATTCATCCTATGAGATCGATGGGCAGCCATACATAAAAGTAAACTAAAATCCTTTCACAGTACGTAATTTTGGAGAAATACAAAAACATCTCAGCAATAATACCTATTGAAAAGTATATATTGTACATATATATATAGATGAAGAAAAATAGGATGGTGTACCTACCCAATAGATGTTTATTACCCAATAGATACATACATGGAAAAGAAAAAAAAAAAATTCTAACCACCAACTATCCTTCGCGCGAATCTCCAATTCCGTAGATTAATCATCAGAACGCAGCTAGCAACACACTCGGCACGCACCTGCAAGTGCCATCTCATCCGACATTGAAATCCGCCGGAATAACATAATGTGTATACTATAGACGCTTTGCTAACAAGGAAACGATTTGGCGCATTTAGCCACATCCTAAAACAGATCCAGCACAATAGCCAGATGATGGGTACCGGAGAGAGCTAGGGAGTCGAAACAATGACCATTTTTTGGCTACGAATTTCCAAAGAGATCGGCGCAATCGTCGACACTTGACCGGTTATGCTCACGCGCGCGTGCATTGCATGAATAAATCAGTCCGATAAAAATGCCAGCACCGCACCGCGTCCCTCCGACTTTTCCAACAAAGCCGCCACGGCGCAACCTCCCTTTCTTTTTTCGAGGGTAAATTTTTTTTTTTTTTCCCGTCTCCCCGACTCCAGGATCCTTTTTTCCCCTCCGAAACCATATTTCGTCTACTCGCGCGTTCTCTCGGTATACCCGAAACCGTGTACCGCATATACTGCACCCTTTTTTTCTCCTCGCATGGCTGTAAATATTCCCTTCAACTGGTCTTTCGCAAAAAACCGCACGACGATTCGCCCAGGTCATTCTCTCCCACGCAAACAGTTGGTGGTATTTGCTCGCGTTTTAGCGAGAAATGAAAAAAAAAAAAAAAAAAAAAAAAAAACACCTGCACCATACGCCAAGAATAAGGCGTGTAGTACACGCGAGCGCGCGTGGGTGAAGTTTTCCGCCAATTTTATGTACGCGCCCACACACGCGCGCGCGTCCGAGGGAGGATCGATCAAATGTAGGTAGGTGCCTTTTTCATACGTACCTACCTATGCCCAAAGAGAAGGTATATCTGGACTTCTTGCTTACGGTTGCGGTTGGAGTGAAAGTAGCCATCGGGGATGGGGCTGCGTTAATTTTATTCGCACGATTCTCTCGAGTTTTGGCTTTTCTCGGATACGCATACATGCTCGTAGGGTGTTTTTCACTTTGGTTTCGTGGAACTTGGGCACGCCTCTGGTTATTTGTACCGTTTTGTTTTTTTGTTTTTTTTTATTCGATACAGATAAGGGTGCAAGCTTATTGTTCCCGCTTGAGTTTGTTAACAATACTACGCGTATACTTTATACAGATAACACTATCAAAATTCACCCATTGCAAGCGTAGCAAAGCAAAACCATACATAACTCGTATCCTTCCTCAACTCTATAGTGAAGCGTCAAATAGAAAATTCCTACGGTGGACGAGCCACATGTATGTCTAATCATGCGAAAAGCGCAGTACAATAGCTGATGCTTGATTCAGGCGTGGGGTACACGAATAATATATTGTGTTTGAAGCTTTGAAATCCAGAGGGTCGTATTGGCATGAAGGTGGAATATTGCTTTTGGTTTATATATCATCACAGCTGTAAATTGTCAATGATTTCGGGGTAACAGTCCAATGGACGAGAAGTATAGTTTTTTGTTGTATGTATGGATAAAAAAGATTTTTTTTTTTTTTTTTTTTTTTTCATCGACTCGGGCGATGTTGTATCGAAAATTCTACGTATTTACAACAGTTATCGAATCGAACGTGGAGTGAAATTAATAACAGGCACCGAGTAAGGTTTTTTCTTTTTCCATTAAGATCACACGTATTATGCAACGAGAGATGGAATCCTGGGGAGGAGGGGGGGGGGAATTTATGAAACGAGTGTGGAAAAGCAAAATTTATGTCATCACCCTGACTTTGGACGAGTTAAAGTTCCTCCCTTTTTATTTTTAGCGCGATAGCTTTTTGGAGCGGAAAGAAGAGACTCTGCCACCGCCGCGCGAGAACACCGGAGATAAAACGGGCGTTTAATACTATAACGCGCTTTCGAGAAAGAGGAGAACTCGTTTGAAAAACTTAATCAAGACTCATCGCCGGATGAGTTTTAATAGATGTATATGTAGAAACAATGGGGAGCCGAAGGAGGTACGGTCTTGTCAAGTGTCCAGAGCACACGACCTATACAACACTTGGGGACGGCACTACATTGCACACTACATCGCGAAACGTGGCCCTAGTGTAGCCAGTGTACATGTATACGCTCGTACAATGGAATACACGCATACACGTGACAATGGACACACGCACAAGTGGATGGTAATCCCGAGCACTCAGTCGCTCGCCACTATGAGCAAACTCCTCTCCAAAGCTCTGAATATACGTATACGGCGTCAAGGACTCGCTACACCGAAATCAATTAGATCGTCTTTGATATGCGAATCCGAGGCTGTGGGTACACGTGTGTTTATTGTATACACGCTTCCGCGGTATCGTATAGGGCCGGGTGTGGATTTTTCTCATTCGATGGAAATCCAGGAGCGGTCGAGTATGACGGGCATGAAGAAAATACACCTCTCTCCTGCTGGAAGGGAAATCCCGGATCGGCTCGAGAGTTTTCACGTGCATACACGTTTTGCTTGTCGTTTTGATCCGACTTGCTTAGAACGAGCAAATCATCCGATGGTTGAATTTAATATTTGATTCATCAATGTATCGTACAAGTTGAATTAATTTCGTCCTAATGTGACCTATACGTTTTCCTCCTTCGTCGATATAAGTGACGTCTGTGTAGGTGTACCGATTAGCAAGCCAATAACCCACCTCCGCGTCCGTGGGTATAATTGACTTGGAAGTCCACGCGGACGGATCGGACGGGCTAGCTTGAGAAATTACTTGTGCGACAGAGCGACGAAGGAGAGCAGCGGCAGCAAACAAAGCAACTAATCAGGCTCTTTGTGCCTTTTACAAGGCGCGCCGGTACACACACAAAGGGCACCTAATTATACCGATAGAAGCTGGTTATGTTGTTGTTGTTGTTGTTGTTGTTGTTGTTGTGGTTATCGCTTCGTTTAATTAAAATTCGCATTTTTTGACAAATTTCAATTAAAATTCTCAATGTCAACGATACTATGCATAATAGGTTTAGTTCGAGCTTTTGTGTTAGTTATGCCAGTGGTTCAATTAATAGATCGTGAATCTCGTGACTGAAAAAACGTGCATCGTTTATATACGTTAGGATATTAATTTTTAACTTACAAAATGTCAGCGATAGATACCTAAAAATAGATACCTACTTACAAGATTTCAATTTTTTTTTTCAGGCACATTGACTTACATCCAAAGTAAATTATAATTGATGTAACATTATCAGTACTCGATCAGTATACTTTGATCCATGTGTTTTATTTTTATCCAAAAGAAGATTTTCATGTGACCAGAGATAGTTAACCATATTTCAATAGATGGTCACTCGAGAAAAATTTTATTGCCAAATTCAAATGTTTCACGTATAAGTTTACAAAAGCTTTAATCTTGACGAGAAAGCAAGTGTTACAATAAGAAAGAGCAACGCCCAAACGAAGGCATGAAATAAAACGCGTATACCTTCGGCGCTCCAGAAAAAGGATATCGATCATTCACACTCGCGGGCATAAAAGAGAGCTCCGGTATAACGGGCCGCCTCATTTGTACACGTGATACACAACACCATCATTTTTTTTTTTTTTCCTCCTCTTCATCTCTTGTACTCGCGTTAGCCAGCGGAAATTATATGCCACTGCGTCGCTGCACAAGACGTCGATGTTGAATCGACGCGAATTTACAGCGAAGACGTGCCCCGCAAGCGCGATATACCAGAGCGCTTATTGGCTCTCTCTCTCTTACTGCGGTCGACGTTTACTACCACGTATATATATAGAACGAGCGCGTGCCCGTGACAGAGACGATGCTGCGCGCGGGTGGCCCTCCGACGCTCTCGTATACTTTTTTTTTTTTTTTTTTCCTTTTGGGGAACGATCGGATGCACCCGAGGCTAATGCGTTTTCAAGTGCAGGCTCACGGCATGTATATACACGCCAAGGCGCGAGAGCTCGAGCCTTTTTTGCTCGCGAAACCCAATTTTCTTTTAACGAGACGCCGGGCCGAGCAGACCGGAATTTCGGAAATTAAACAGGTCAGGTACACGTTTGGGCGGGGGGGGGGGGGAAATAAAAATACACCCTTCATCCGATCGAGTGGAAACATCTGTGCCGGTACCCTCTCGAAACTCTGCCGATTTGCATGAAATTAGCCCACATCGACCCCCCCCCCGCCCCAAGAGCTGGTCCTTTGACTTTTTCCCAAATCGATATCTCACCTGTATATCTATTTTTTCTTTCTTTTCTTCCAGAGCACCGAGCAAAGATCCTCTGGCCGTGGATAAGCATGAGGAGCCGCCGGCGCTCGGCCTTCCTCCACCCGGGCTAATAATTTCCACGCGACGCAAGACAGAGGGGTAGTTCACACACCATCCCTACCCAGTGGACCGGAGCAGGGGGTGGCGAGGCTCGCGGGCGTATTATGCTCGAGATCGGTTGGCCGAACATGAGCGGTGAGCCGTCGGCGATGGGCGAGCCGGCGTCCTCGCTCGATCCCCTTCACCACGGCGCCGAGCTCAACCTGCCTTACGCCCTGTGCGAGGTCCTGGTGGCCGTGGCCGCGGTGATCGGCAACGGCCTCGTCATCCTCGTCTTCGCCAGGGAGCGCAAGCTCAGACGCAGGACCAACTACTACATCATATCGCTGGCGACGGCGGATCTGTTGGTCGGTCTGCTCGCCATACCGTTCGCCATACTGGCGAGTATCGGGCTGCCGACGAATTTGCACGCGTGCCTGTTCACCGTCTCGGTGCTCGTCGTTCTCTGCACCATAAGTATTTTTTGCCTCGTCGCCGTCTCCATTGACAGGTACTGGGCCATCCTCCATCCCATGGGCTACTCCAGGACTATGCGCACCAAGACTGCCATAGGTGAGCTTTACCCCTGTGTAATGATATTTTTTTTCTTCCCCCCCCCACCCCTTCTTCTTCTATTCCTAATTGCTATTAGATCTTTCTACAAGCTTTTCTATGAGTAACGCGTATAACTGTTCTGTCGGCTATACGGACTTTTTTTTTATATTTACGACAGTTAATTTTTGTTGCCAGTACAATGGTTTTTTCGCGCTTGTACAACATACATTTTCTGTGCAGAATATGGTAAACATTAGGTTGACACCGGATTACCGTTCTGTCATTTTTATTTTATTTTTTTCTCTTGGTGCGTTTGCGATCTAATAAGCGCACATGGATTTGATAGAAAAAGGACAAAAAATAAAAAAATATCGCGATGTCAAACGGAGACAAGGAGGGGGGAGACACGCGGATATAATCTCTGGGAGTTTAATCAGGTTACAGTCGATACTTGTCCTGAACTCATCATCGAATCGTGAAGATCGAGGGGGTGATGGCCGGGGTCGCTCGTCGTATCGATAAATCGACGTCAGCGGGTATATATGTGTACACACTAGCGAAACTACGATGCGCCTATCACAGCGCGAGTCATTTCTACTTAGTTGATGGAGTTTTGCGGCGAAGCTCATTGGAAATCGTGTTTACTACTGCCAGAGGAATAAATGACCGAATGTTTCAATATATTTCTTCGCAAACGTATACAAATATGTTTTTCGGGGTTATTCAAATTGTTGAGCAAAACTGAAAATCTAGTTCAAGCGCCACTATTTTTTTTTTCCTTCCCTTAATGATCGTTAACGCGCGTATGGAGAGCCCGTAAGCTTTGGTTGCAAACAGCCAAAAGGATGGAAAAATTAATTTTAAGAATTTAGGTATTGTTGTTCGTGAAGAAAAATAAGTGGTCTCCGCTTGACATTCCGGTCGGCAAACACGACCGCCTTAATTCCTTGTTTTTAAAATTAATAAGAACCACTGCAGGGTTGCGGTGATTTTTTTTTTAAATTAACCCTCACGCGGTATATTATACTATCGCAGAGCTGAGATACCACCCGTATACGAAGGAAAGCGCAAGAAAAATGGCCTCGTAAAAATCTAAGATCCACTTTTTTTTTTTTTTTTCTACATCGGCTCGTGTTATTGACGCGCACACCTTACACCTCGCGTAACTGGTAAGACTAACGAAGACAAATGTAGCGAAGGAAAAAAAGCCCCGCGTCTGAAAATTTGCTAATAGCGCGAGCAAGCTCGTCCCTTGGATCGATTTCCATTTATTAAATTTCCCAACGGGGCGGATACATATATATATATATTTAAGGGTTCGAATTTCACTCGTAGCAACTTGCCTGTGTAGTGTCGATCGACAAGGAGGAGGAGGGCCACGCTGGCACTCGATTTCTCGGAATTATCACCATAATTTCCCTTGCACTACCAATGACGAATCCGATCGCGCTGACCGAACTTCATTAGTGTGCGTTGCCTTGATCAGCTGACTAGTCCAGACTTGGGTACAACTAATTTATAGATTTTTTATATACTTTTAAGAGAATTTTTTTTTAATTGCCATAAAAATACAATTCATCGTTTTAGCTCAAGAATTTTTTTATTCAATCGTTACTTAATATGATTTTTAAGTTTTTTTCCCAGCCAAAAATAACGCAGTATATTTTTAGAAATTAAAATTCATCATGAAGTGTTTGAACAGAAGAAACGAAATTTTTTTCTTATTTTAACTACAGTTATTTTTTATTTTTTTTTTTTTTTCCTTGGAAGAAAACTTAAACGTAAAAAATATTTGAATAGTATTTATGCCCAAGTTTGACGGTGTCTAAATCACATGCTTCTTTGAATTCAATTATTTCTTTGTTTACAAACACAGATACTGTATTTGTAGTTTTCGATATAATCCATACACACCAAATGGCACTTGTATCGTTGGGAGTAAAAAAAAGCGATCGCAAAGAGTTATATCGTTTAGAAATTATCACACAAGTAAGTAGTGCTCGAAGGTGATGAATCCGGATGCAAGTCGAAAGCATTTTTGCTCCCTCATCAAAAGTGCAATGCACGCGATAAATCATTTTTCGTACATAAACTGAAACAAATACTCCAATTGACTCACAAAAAAAAAAAAAAAAAAAAAAAACCAACTTCTTGCGTTGCAATGAAGGTAACACGATACGCATTTCAGCTGTCCCTCCATGAATTTTCCCTCTGTCGTCGCGTGTCGCCGGTAGTTGGTTGGACAGCCCGAGCTACACAGGATTTTAATTACGAGCATATAAGTACACAGCGCGAGAAAAAAAAGAGAAGCGAGAGACACACGGCCAAAACAAAGGAAAGTCGCGTGCTGTACGGCTGATCGATATGGCACATCCCCGCCCGTTTCTTTGTCGCTCGCTACGTCCACTTCCTACCTTCTTTTTTATGTCTCCGGTTCCGTTGGTCCCACACACACATACGTATGCAACAGCGGAATCGATGAAACTTCAGTAGGGCAGGTAAATATTTGCGCGAAGGCGGGAGATTTAAATTTAGATTTGCATCGGTGTATGTGCTCTTCGGCGCGTGTCACGGGGTTTCGCTGATTAAGACCCCAAGTGCCCGTCGGAAGACTTGGGATGCAAGAGGAAGTCCCAGTGGGGCTCGATTTATTGTTGGTAATTTATTTTTAATCGACAAGGTACGGAAATTTTAATCAAAATCGACGAGGAGGAGACGAGCTCGAAAACAAAGAAATCGGAGCTAATTGGATAGCAATTACGTATGTAGGGGGAAAAACAAGAGCTTTTTCACGCGCACTTAACAGAATACGTTCGCGAGAGGATTCATTTGCTGAGTTGAGTTGCACGTAGCGCGGGATTTATGCCAATAGTTGGGAACTTGTAGGAAAGCCCTTTTGCGAAAAAAAAGAAAAAACACTCCACTCGCATTGGAAACTGTGATGCTGTGTACTCGATTGTATACACCCTCTGGACTTTCTTCGCTTGAAAATTCGACACTTGGACGGAAAAAGCGACGTACCGCAAGAGTTTCAAACCACGTGGTACCTTTTAAAGCCCCAATACGTGTTAAAAACGAGATTCAATAGGTGATACTTGTATACATGTGACGTTAACCGATTCTCGGATGGGGTGAAACCTTGTTCCATTACCGAAAGCCTTATCGTTGGTTGTGCACAAAATGTCCTCAAACAAAAAGAAAAATATGAGAGAGGGAGGAAAAATGAGCCTTGAATTTTTTTCAGGTATAATATGCGTGTGCTGGGTGGCGGGCACGTTGGTCGGTTTCCTTCCGCTGTTCGGCTGGAACGCGGGCCACAAGTCCGACGAGAAGTGCATCTTCACCGAAGTCATGGACTACAACTACCTGGTCTTCCTCTACTTCGCCACCATCATCTTCCCGGCGCTGCTGATTGCCGCTTTCTACGCCCACATATACCGCGTCGTCGTCAAACAGGTTCGTCGTGCGATACAATGCATTAAGTGTATACGCCAAGTGATAACACGCGTGGAAAAGTATGGGCGCGGAGGGGTCTCTTTATTTTCGCACTGTTTGCCCATCTTCTTCGCTCGGTTGAATGTGTACTTGGACGAGCGCTAATGTGCACTTTGAGGGGATTACTTTGCGTCTTCATTTCTGTTGTCGGCAGTAGAACAACGCCAGCGGCAAAGTTTATTTTTGCGATTGCGACGACAGAGTTGTGCGTACGCGGAAGATTTGATTACCTATATGCCACGCGAGGTTTTTCAACTGTACGTCCGTTGGAATGGCAACGCACGGAGAGCTTGATTTTCCCCTTTGAAAAACAAAGGGATGAGAGGGTATATAATTGAATTTTCCCGAAGGGAAACAGATTTTCTCGAGCGAGTTAATGACTTTTTAATGTCACCGGCTCGTGTGTTCCATTTGCTTTTACTTTGCGTGTAGTAATGCACCGGTGAGTTACAATAACGGCCGTGGTTTATTAATTTACATAATATTCAAAATGATACTAAAACTATGCGCTTGTGTGGCCTACATAGATAAAATTATTCTGATGAGGATGATTTTATTGATCAACCAAGTTATACCACCGTTGACATTCTAAGGACAATAAGCGTGTATACCTACGTGCTTTGAGAGGTCGTAATTTATTCGATTTTTCTCCTGCTCCCATTTTGAGGGAGGTGACTTGGTTATTAACGAAAAAAACAGTTACAGGATTGGACACTATATCCATCGACAAGAGTGGCCATGCTCGCATCAAAGAATCGGAAAAAATATTTGTTACGAACACACGCGTTGAGAAAAAACAGTCCTATAAAAAAAAAAATTAAAAAAAAAAACCATTACGTTAATGAATAAAATTTCCCAAATGACACGTTACACCCTTGTGAAGCTACAGCAGATCGTGACGATGAACCTGGGCAAGCGCAAGGAGAACCAGGGACACGGGACGATGCTGCGACTCCTGGGCGCGGCGCAGAAGCGGGAGGTCAAGGCCGCCCAAAATTTGTCGCGAATCGTCGCTTTCTTCATCATCTGTTGGTTCCCCCTCTACACCATCAATTGCGTCAAGGCCTTCTGTCCTCTGTGCGAGGTCAACCAGTTCATCCTCGATTTTTGCATCATACTGTCGCACGTCAACTCAGCCGGCAATCCTCTGCTCTACGCGTACCACTTGAAGGACTTTAGGGCGGCGCTCAAGAGCTGTATACATAGGCTACTGTTTCTGGGACGCGCGGACGGCAAGCACGCCTCGCAAACGCAAGCCGGGATGATCAGTGTTATTCAGGAGAACAAGAGTGAGTCCTTTTGGTTTTACAATTAGATTCGAAGATATGGGAGTGCGCGGGATATTAGTCGGACACAGTCTTTGGGGGATTTTTTGTGTTTTTTTGGAATAAAGTTGAACTTCAATCCGCAACCATCGTACGGAAGAATTGATTGTACACTGGTAAATGCATCGATATCAAGGATATAATGCGCTATTGTATACGCTTAGTATATATAATGTACTGCAAATGTAAATGTTTTAAAGCCAAACACCAAAGTGTTTAATTTCCATTGAAAATATTATATAAACACTTTCATTCGTTTTTTAAGTCATAAGTAATTTGAAATGAAACTCTTGAAACATTTAGTTGGGCGTTTTGTATTGAAACTTTTACACATTTGAAGGTGTAGGTACGCCTAATCGTTTTGAAATGATGGATATAATACTTAGAAAAATGAAACATTTGGTGTTGAGTTTCGAAACATTGAACTTACAGGGTAGGAAATACGTTAAAAGCAACATACTGCTTTTCCTTGTCATAAATATTGGACAAAAAAATTCAATTGCAACTGTAGGTTCGATGATGGGTTCTCGGAGTGGGTCAGTTGGAGGAGGAGGACTGGGTTCTATGCGTGGGCGGAACGCCGGCTCCCAGCAACAGCTGTTCCAAGGCGGTAAGGAGCCCAGCAACAACAATAGGTACCCCAACTTGTTGAAGCAAGTGCACGAGTCGAGGATGAGGGAGATGCAAGCCGCAGCCATGACGAAAATCGCCGAGCCGAGCATCTGCATTGTCAAGTGAGATTATTTTTGTTGATTCGTATACCAATCGCGTTAAACAAAATATGCTTGTTGTTAAGAACTATTAGATATTTTGCGGGGGATCATTTGAAAAATGGAACAAAAATTGTACGACTTGCCCAAGGAACTGTTTTACAACAACATAACACTATGGTTGCGTAAATGATTTATCGATAAAATAACAAGTTTCTCGCTTATCGCCGAGACCAATAAGCAGAAGTGATGATTTGTAATTAAGTTTTAACGTGATGGTATTTTAACCCGTCGAGTAATCCGTCAAATGTTAACAATCCAAAGTACATGATTAATATGCTCGGATAGCCAGAGTCACCTATAGCACACGTTAAGTTCGGCACTTTCAGATAAAAGGTTTAAAAAAATACTTCCTCCACTTGAAAAGTAACGCCAAGATAATATATTGCGCAAGTAATCTGTACGACTTGGTACGGGCAATAGCGGAAGTAGGTCGGACACGCTTGTAAAAACATCTATTTTCAAAGGCTTGGAAGCTACGCTCGAATGAAAATTATCCGTATGGCGGAATCAAAGCGTAATTTTTAATTTCAGGAAAGCCAAGCCAGGCAGGGAAGAGAAAAAGCCTTCCCCGGCATCGCCGGTGGACAAAACGACCCAAGAGGTAGCGAGTAGTCCGAGCACGAGCATGGACACCTCGACAACCCGATTCGAGGGAGCGACAGTCACTGCGCTCGAGCTCAAGTCTTACGAATTCGACAACGCCTCGCTACAGTTTGCCGACGACTGCGATGAGGAGGAGGAGGAGGTAGAAGACTGCCAACCGGCCAACCAGCCTGACTCGGTTATAATCATCGAAGCTGATGTTAATCGCAGCCAGTCCTGCAAAGAGAAGCTGGACAATCAGGAGACTGACAAAGCGTTAGAAAGCGAATGAACATAAAAAAAGTTCGAGCTAATTGCTCGAGGGTATCCTGGTGTTCCTGTGAAGTGAAAACGTGTTTAGCTTTAAGGATGTATAAATTTGAAGCGTACGTTGTAGTCAAAGTCGCTGTGTATTCCCTTATGTACAATAGGTCTGCAAATACGCAACTGACCCTTTGTCACTCGTTGAATTACAAAATTACAAGATTGAGCAACTAAAGCCCATCTGTTTCATTCGGATATGATTGTACCGGCGTAGACAATAGTGATAAATTTACACGCGTGGGTATGAAATGTGTATACATTGTGTATGTATGTGCCTGTATATATATAATAATAATAATAATAATAATAATATATAACATCGGCCAAACCCACGGCACGACTCTGTTTTTTTATTTTATTTTTAATGGAAAGATAAATACCTAGTATGGGAGTCCTTATTATTGTATGATCGATAAAACCAGTCGCACTTTTTTTGATTACACTTAATAAGTTGTTAAGTAATGTATTGTGCGCATTTTTAAATTGTATTATGATACTAAAATTCGGGTTCTATACCATACGTTACTACGTGCGTCATGACAAAACTGTAAAGTTAATGTAGAAATTTTTTTTGGAAGAAATCACCTGGTTAGTTTTAAATACTCAATTGAACTTTATCAAATTAATAGTTCAATTTTTGATAAGTTTTTTCACGCATAACATATTTTATAAAAAAGTATACATTATTTTTAAAAGCTCAGGTAGTTATTTTTAACTTAAATTGACAATATTTTTGCAAATAAATTGTTGAGATAATCGTTTGGACAAAAGAAATAATTTTCTTTTATTTAAAAAACAAAAAGTTTAGATATTGAATACAAATAAATGTCTTACACTCACAACATCGCATAAATATGTTGTACAATATAACTTTTTCAAATACTTATATTTGAAATCATTTTATTCTATACAACATAAATGTTTTTTTTTTTCATGTTAAGATAATTAAACTCTGTACAAAATTAAAAGTTTAATAAAAAAAAAAAAAAAATTACATTTTGATTTGTAAGAAATATACACTAAACAATTCTTATAAATAAGAATTCTTATGTGTACCACAGTAAATTATGTGAATTATTCTGTACCTCCATTGTTAATAATGTTAAACGATACAATTGTCTAAGTATCAATCAATACATTAATTATGTACTTTGTACAAAATGCAATGAAGGAATCTTTGCGAAAATAAAATGTCAATGTATATTGTCAATCGTTCGAAAAAATTGTAAGACGTATTTCAACATTAAATTAAAAAAAATAATCTTCCTTCAATTAGGAGGTGTACAGGTGTAAAAGTAATTAAAAATTGTATAATAATCTCACACGTGAGTGTCAAAGTATTGTAATGCTGTTTGTAAAATAGGTGTATATAATTATTGTTATAGTTGTAATTCAACCAAACAATTTCTTAATACACGTAATTTTGTTAAAACCTTTGTTACAGTATAGTACAAGTGTAAAAACTGCCAAAGTTTCGCATAAATACGTTTGAATTCGAGTTTTATCTCTAAATAATGAGTATTAGTCCCAGATACAAGACTAATTTATAATTTATACTTTTATTACGGAAAAAATATTTGTTACGAACACACGCGTTGAGAAAAAACAGTCCTATAAAAAAAAAATTAAAAAAAAAAACCATTACGTTAATGAATAAAATTTCCCAAATGACACGTTACACCCTTGTGAAGCTACAGCAGATCGTGACGATGAACCTGGGCAAGCGCAAGGAGAACCAGGGACACGGGACGATGCTGCGACTCCTGGGCGCGGCGNCCAAAGAGTGCAATATGTTTCTGCATTTTTGTATATTTCATTAAATTTTCCCCTTAATGATTTTTTTTAAACTCCTTCTTTATGAACATTATTTTCTCATTAGTGTTCTTTTTTTTTCACTAGACTTTTAAAACAACATCTCAAACATAAAGTATTGAAGTTTCAACACTTGACAGCAAGACAGTGATGAGTTCAACATACCTGTATTATTTTTATGAAAACCTATAAGTTAAATTATCCTAATTTATGAAGAAAATATACTATTACCTTGTTGGATTTATATAAAGTACATTTTATAATCAAGCATATATACATACAGAACTTTGTGTCTTTTAACAGTATTAGTTACATGTAAAAATGTTTGTAAAACTGAAAAATAGTAAAAAATAATTGTTATACAATATAAATAGTTAAAAGTTACTCATCTTAATGTTTTGTTCTTGGAGCCTTTTGTCCAACAGCGCATCACGGTATACTTTATTATTACTCAATCAGATGAGAGAAAAGCAACGCATACTAGCCAAAAGAATCGTTATTTTCATAATTGAGTGGTAAAGTACTTGTAGAGACGTTTGTGGAAAATAGAAGTAAAAAAAACAGCCATGACTTTGTGATTGAGGCCTACGAGTAAATAACTGACCAAGAGGAGAGTGACTTGGATTGAGTACCTTTGTTTATAAAATATCACTCTTTTGAAAATGTTTAAAAAAAAATGATAATACTTCGGTCACAAGCGTTTTATTGATAAACGCTTTTAGAACAATAGAAAAAAATTGCAAGGCGTACATTTACCTTAAAACTGTTATATCTTTCGTTAGAACAACTCACAACTTTTTTCTTTTCCTTTATTTGTATCAACGTATTATAACTTAACTTATGCCTGGAGAGGAAACATTATTATAAGTTGCCAATTGATTTTTGCGCGTACAATAGATATACTTACTGACGATAGATAGCTGGCTGACAAAGCTGATGGTGTTATCGAAGGAAGATAAAAAAGAGCCCTCTTTTCGGGAGTAGAAGTTTCGGTGGAACCAACACCCAAGGCAGAAGAGTACATTACTTGACTCATTGATTTAAACAAAATTCAACAAAGTGCCAAAAGCACAAATGGTCAAAGAGCCAGACAATGAATTAAAAATTACTGGCTGGACTGGGATCCTGAAATTGCATTGTTAGTTTGAGCAGGATCCTATAGGCATGTATACATATTTGTAATTGGTTCCCATTGCGTCAGATTTCACGTGAATATTCAGTGATCATTTAAAACTCGTTAGCAGCGCGTAATTAAATACGCATCGCGGAAACAAACCCGCTCTCGACAACAATGCCTTGACCGTTGTTGCACTGCGAATTGGTTCTTTGTTCGCGGCAAAGCTCGCGGACAATGAAAATTGAATTACCAGACTCGGCTTTACAACGATTTCCTCTTGGCTTTTTTTCTCTTTTTGTATACGTACTTTTTCACGTCGCTTGATTCCATTTATCGCGAGCCCAATCGGCGTTGCAACGGAGTTTAGTTTCAATAAAGTGATCGACGTCGAAACACCTAGTTTAGGTTTAAATCAAAAGTTAGCATTCATTGTTAGAGAAGATGAAGAAAAACTTGCGGTGTAAAAATCATTGTTATGCTAGTGTATCGACTCGTTGTTAAAATCATGGTTTGAGAATAATTAGCTATTTTAGGGTAACTACTTTCTACAAATGAGTAATTATTGTTACATGCAAAAACAACTAAAATTACGAATAAGATTATCGCTGGAACATCCGGATTTCGTCTACACATTTTAAAGTTATTACACACAAGATTGTAATTTTATGTAGTAAACTTTATTTAAAAAATTATCTCATCAGATCTTCATTGCTTTTTACAAGTATTTATAGTTTCCGCTTTATCTACGTCGGCAGTAAATCATTCAATGTAGCAAACGTATCGGAATCAAACGCACAAATAAACCCACGCAGTTCGGAGGCATCACATGGCGATCATGAAGAAAGCTTTGAAAAGTTTTAGAATCACATTTCAGGAATAGAATTACAATACAGGAATGTACAAAATTCAAATACATTTAGATGAAGTAATACAAATAATTTTGTTAAAAATACTTTTTATGTATTAAAAATTTCATTGTTAATTTACAACTGATTTTTAACGAAGTTTTCCAACTTTTGAATATATAGTTCTAGAATTTTAATAAACAGCCAAAAAAAATGTATTCTCTGTCATATACAATGATTGAATGTAACAAGTATAAGTAAGTTTATCTGCCTCACACAACTAAATGCCCTAAATACGCTATAAACTTTCTTTTTTCCTTTCACAATGAGACTAAGAATATTTGTTGAGTTAACGCGATTGCACGTAAAAATCTAACATTAAATTAAAATCGTTGTGAAATTTGATTTGTAATTGTAAATAGTAAAATCGTAGGGTTCAACGTAACACAATCGTCAACAGAAAAAAAATCTATCAGCAGGTCAACAAGTAAAACACATCGTATAATGAATGAAGTTATAAGAGTTACGCTCGTACCAGAATCTTGAACATGTTTCTGTACACGGTCACGCCCAGTATTTATTTAAAGTCATTAAGCTGCTTTCAAACCTAATCGTTATCTCGGACATTCAACACAACAGCGGATGAATAAAATGAAAAAAATCGATTTTATCGTTATTTAAGTAATTAAAATGTGCAGTCTGTAATTTACAAGTTAAGTAACGATCTTCAAAATCGATTCAAATTTCACCTCTTGAGTGACTCGAATCCTTAAGAAAAAATACACACCCACACACACATACGCATAACAAACACTAGTAAAATTTATCGGAAAGATCATTGAAACGCTCACATGACGTGTTTTAATATTTATTACACAGCAACAATATTCAACTTTATTTCGCGACCTTTTTCTCTTTACATCGCAAAACTGGCCTCGTACATTGTAAGTATAATAGTCAAGAGCCGAAAAGACGCGACATTTGTACCCTCGAAGGATAAAACGGAAAGTTGAATTCTCAGAGGCGATAAGGGGGTGCAATCGTCGGCTCTTGGCGCACTTTTGTTGTCATACGTTTTCTTTGTTTATTTTACACGTGGCTGCTTCGGGAAGCTCGGCTGTCGTACATTCTTGTAGTGGACAGATCGCCGAGGGGTGTCGGTGGAGGTCACGCGTTCGTTCGGTTCATCGCTGAGAACGTCGACGTTTTTTCAAGCTCCAACTGTCGGGCTATGTCCTCCCAAATCTGGCCGTTTGTTAAGACTCTGTAATTACATTTGCTTTTTGTACGCGATACTACGTATGGAAATTTTTTACTTTACATGAAATACCAGGGATGCAACAATTAAAAAACAACCACGTGAGCAAATGATCTGAGATTTTTTTTTCTTTCTTTTTTTTTTCAATACTTAATTGTTCCAAAAAACTAAAATAATACGTTAAAAGTTACTCATACAATACATCAAAAGGTAAACAAAATCATTGTCCATGCTTTTCATACATCTACATGGTGTGTCGTATCTAATACTTGTGATTTTTGTAAATGCAAGGTCGTTTAGGAGATTATTGCGACAACTAATATTAATAAACAATATTGAATAAATAATAAAAAAACAAACGAGATTACTCAACACTAACAAGAAGAGATTTTAATCATCAAAAGAAATTGTGTTTATACAATACTGTTATACAGCACAAGCAGTACTGGAAAAAAAAAAAGAAACTAAATATGTTGCTTTGCACTTTTAAGGTCTTTTTCAAATTTTATTAAATTTTTCAAATTATTTTTCCAATGAATGAACGTGTTGTTTATCATCGTGTCAATAATCTCGTTTAATAAAATTATGTCCCAATCATACGGTGCAGAATTTCTTAATAAAAGGTGAGTTGGATTTTTTTGTAAGTAGTACTGGTCAACGATTAGTCGGACGTATCAAAATTAATGAATAAAACAAAAAAAAAAAAACAACAAATCATCAAGTACATCGAGCAGGTACGGAATAACTAGGCTAGCCTGGCTCCGAACTCACTTTCTCGTGTTTTCACTGACAACCTTGTCGGGCGCCCCGTAATTCGGCGGATTGGCGTAGGGATCGTAGTTTAGGATCGACAGCATGGGCGCTATGTCGGCCATGTCGCGCACCACTTCCTCCGGTATGTTACCGACCCACTTGGTCAGCGCCTCCAGGTTTATCGGCTTGATCACCTGGTCGGACGAGCGCTCCACCCTAGAACACAGGGTCATGCTTGTAAATTTTTCTCGGGTACAAATTTTCTGAGAATGCCCTTATTTCCTCTTTTAAAATCAAAAATAAGAATAAAAAAAAAAAAAAAAAAAAAAAACACAAGCTTTCACAACACTGCAGAGATAACACTCGTTGTTGAGAGAAGCACTCGAGTCCTGCACCTGACAAGACGATGATAACAACTTTTCCGATTTTTCGTAGTTAATGGAAGGAGTTACCCCTAGCTAATAAAAATTGCCATTTGTGCCATTTCAGTTGCCAAAGTTACATTCAAATCCTGCCTCTGTATACATATAATAACGATCCTTGAACCGTGATAACTTAAAAATACGGATGGACTTGAAGACAAACTGTTCCGAAGAGCCCAAGGTGTAAAAAATTGCCCCATACATATTAACGGGCAAGTGAAAAAACAAAAGTAAAAGCCGTACTTGCTGAGCGGCACACCGCCAGGTTTGTTGATAAACTCCTCGTGATGGAGCACGGCCTCGTTCCAGGGCACGTCGAGGTACTCGAGGATTTTGCGCATCCACTCGCGCGGGTGCAGGACCAGCTGTTCGTACGGCACCATTAGACAGCGCTCGGGCCCGAGTTCCTTGCACTGCTTGTACATGACGCTGATCGCCTGGTTCCACTTGATCATGCACTGGCGGTACGACGTCAGGTCGAAGCCCGTTATCGTCACCTGTGCTCGCATTGGGTCGTGTTTATTGACAGAGTTGAACATTTATTGTTCAAGTGTCGATGGGGATCAAAAGTGGCTGTGGGTATACTTTTTGGAGGGGGAAAAGACGGGCTGCATTTTAGTTTCTCGATGAAGACAGCATTGTCGTCTTCCTCATCGAGTGTTCATTTTGTGAAGAAAAAAGTAGTGGTGCACTAATCTCTACTGAGCTTGAGGAAAGTGTCAGAGGTGAAGGTCACGGATTTCGATGAAATTTTGATGAATGTTTCTTTGTTTTCAAACAAAAAGTTTCATCCAAATCCAAGACCGGCAAGCCTGACTATCTACGGATGGGTCGGCGTGAAAAAAGTTACCTTTCTCGATATGATGGAGTGCACCGTAGCTCTGCCGTCGCGGACCATGAATATGAACTTGGCGTTGGGAAAGAGCTCCAGCACGTAGGAGCCCATCTTCAGGGTGAGCGGGTCCTTGTTGCAGAGCCTCGAGGCAGGCTCGCCGTGCCTCGCGATCACCTCCAGACAGAACGCCGCTATGGCAGCGTTCATCACCTGATAACATTGTCTTCGTTATACGTCGACTCAACTCTATACACGTATACGCTTCAATCAACCCATTCAAGACCTTTCTCTTAGAAGACACTATAACGCTTCTTACATTCTATATTTTCATGAATCCATATTGTGATTTGTCATGCAGTGCGGTGTTGAGGGTGGGTGTACTTTTTGAGGTGGCAAAACAAAAATGTCGAAACGGTGAATTTTTTTAGTAGGTCGAAGAGCGCAAAACATGGAGTACATTAACGTTAAATGGAAGCGCATATGCACTCATTAAATAAATAAACATCATAATAAAAAAGTAATACATGTAAAGCAATGTATTTATGAAGAAATAAACGTAGGGGCAAAGGGTACAGTTGTTGACCCCCCGATAGTGATTTACCGCCACATGCATTTTTAAATGGAGTCTTTACATATAGATATACAAATTATACAGGGGTCAATCACTACCTTAAGGTGTCAATAACTATACCCTTTACCCCTATGAATTAGAAAGTTTATAAGCGCATGAAATAAATCTAAAAATAAATAAAAAAACTAATAAATAAGAAGATAAAGCGTCAAATGCATGGTGTGATGCGAAGAGCTTGAAATGGGTGTTAAACAATCAAGTACCTCATTCACACGATTATTATTATTATTATTGCAGAAATAGATGTACCTCTTTTGAAACACCAGCCTCTTCTAGCCTTACGCTTTCTCGTTCCGATTTCAGCCAGTGCGAGTGCATTTGCAGTATCCGCGGAATTATTCTCGTTTCTTGGCCACATCTGTACATTTTTTTAACAATTGAACTGCATTATCTTACAAATTGATACTTACCACAATTATAAATAAATTACTAAAACTTTTTGATGCACATTCACCATCTTATCGACAATTAGATAACCAGATGGTTTTCGAAAAAAAAAAAATTAAATTTACCCATACTATTAGGTAGGGTATAAGTTATAGTCTCATGCATGACTTTAGGCTCAACGTATATTTATTAACTTATCTACAATCGCTTATTTAAAAAAAATTTCATTTATCAAAAAAGCAAAAACCGTGTTATACTCTCGTACAGTATGCTGAGAGATAAAAAGCGAAACACCCCGGGAGTAAGCTCGTTTTACTCTTCGTTAGCAAGCGACAGGTCAATTGACTCGGTTAATCCGATTTTCTCCTCTGAATCATTAGGCGTTTGTTTGGTTGTTGCGGGAATTCTCGCTGACTGTACGATCGAGTAGATATAGTTTTCACCCCCCACCCCCCTTATTTTTAAAAACCTGCTGAAAAAGCAGTTCCTTATCATCCCGTGTTTTTAAGCTGTACTAATGAGTCTCTGAATTTATTTCCGAAACAGCTGCAAATAACGTTAAAAAATAATATCTTCCGCTTCGACTAAATAAAAATTTGTCTAATAAAACAATCCTCCATTAAAAAAACCAGCAGTTGCACATCTAATTAAATACAATGTGTATTATATATTTTAAAACAAATACTCCAAATACAAGAGATAAAAAAAAAACACGCCGACCAACCTGACTTCCGGATGGGCGTCCATCATGGCACGCATGAGGGTCGTGCCCGAGCGGGGCACTCCGCCAATGAAGATGAGCGGCATGCTGCGACCGTACGGGTAAACCTTCTGGTCTTTCGATCCGACCACGTATTTCTGCAACACAAAAGCAATGAAAAAAAAAAAAAAATTAATTAAACACGCGCAAGCTTTGCCTGCATGATACTGCACTGCTACTGTGCCACACATATTTCATTTTCATTGTTCTTTATGACAGCCACGGCTGTGTATTTTCATTTCAAAGGCAAACGTGCGTGGCCGCGAACGAGATTTTTTTTTCGAAAGCTATCAGCTTTGTTGCAAGCTTTGAGGCTTTGATGCGTGTTTTATGTTGTTGAAAAAATTATTTGCTCTTTACCATGTTTTTATAGCTACTTATTATAAAGCAAGCGTTAACATATGGACGTATCGTTAACATTAATTTCAATGCCACTACACATTTACGAATGGCTACATATACCTCATGCAGTCATTTAATTACGAATCGTGAACTCAATAAAATAACATACACCGAATACATGTACAATCACACATATAATCATAGCAATGAAATAATAGGGGTGTCTTATAATAACCTACGGATATGTCAATTACGTGTCAAGTTTAAATTATTAGAACTCTAGAAGTAACATAAATAAATAAATAAACAAATAAACAAATAAGGTGGATTATATTCACAAAGATACTAAATTAAAAGAGATATTAATGTTGAATGCGGAGATAAAAAATGGTAAACCTACGAAGAATCGATGATAATCAAGTAGAAAACATGGTCCCGTGGTTGGCTTTTCCAAGATCTATGGGAAAAGTATTGCGTATATAAATCAAGTGTGTGTTGCGGCCTCTTCTGCATACAGCCACTTATCGAAACTTTTTCTTTACTCGCTGCATAAAACAAACGTTCTCTAACAAATGTTCCTTAAAATAACTATCAATATTTTTATTCTTATGTAAATTTTACTGTAACGTGTATGCAAAAAATCAGGACAGGTAAATAAGTATAAGTATTTATTCGTAAGAAACGTATTTAGACAGCGCAAAGAGCAAGTAATAATTACACCTCAATTGGCAGACGATAAGGCGCATTCAAGCGCCAACCTCAATTTCACCTTTTACGAGTTCATCGTGCACGATTACTGCGTGGGATGCTTTTATCTACAGTCCCGAGATTTTCTTCTTCCGTTCCCTTACCGTCTTACCCCTTCGTTTTATAAGCAGGTGCTTTCGCACACCTGTCACGTGCAACCCCCCCGCTCCATTTCTTCGTACATGCAGATATGCGTAACGCTTTCTTTAGAGCGAGATTTATTAGCGCTATTTTTTAGGGCCACTTTTTAAACACCAGCCGGTGGAATATTTTTCCTCCTAACGCGGTTGCTATTTTTCTTAGACGACTGATTTGCGTAATGTGCACTTTATTGTGTCGCTGGAAAGAAAAAAAAATTTATGGGCACGTGTCTTTGGAAACTTGAAATTTTTTGCACAATTATTGTACCAACGTTTGTATATCTCTGTATATATGTAATTGTTGTTTGTGGTGTCTGTAACACTATAAGTTGGTCAGTATTTCTGTTTTCTAAAATATCTCGGTCTTAGTGTTCATATTACTTTATTACAGTTTATTTACTTCATCAACGTATCTTTCTTATTTTTTTTTGTCCCTCAACTTTTGTTACGAGTTTCTCGCCATGTATTTTCGTTTACATTTTTATTTGTCATTCTCCGAATCGTTTTTTAATAGGTCTTCATGTGATTTAAATCTTATGTGTAAAATATAATCTACCAATAGAGAGAAAATATAATGCGTGACTAAATAGAGTATTCGCAGTAAGGTAAAAATATAAGGACTTTCAGTTATTTCATACTGAAGAATGACAAAGTTTACGACACTTTTTTTTTACAAGAAATCATTATTTTGTGTTTGTTCAGTGATTAAAAATAGATACATTTAAAAGTCCAAGAAAGTAAGATTTAATTTTGCGCACTTAGCGTGTCATACAGGAAAAGTTATTCAACATGAAAGCCTAAACTGAATAATAAATATTGATTCTTCGTTAACTACGCTGTGCACCCGTTAAAAGGTTTATCCTCGTGAAATATAACGAAGTGACGCATTTTACGAAGCGAAAAAAACGGTGGTAAATCTTATGATAACACAAACGCTCGAGTCTAATTGAAACTAATGCACACTGTACGTTTAAATTATCATACGAAAATTGAAATAAATTTCAGCGTGGTAAGTACTGCTCGTGCCCACTATATAAATACGGTCTGTGGTAAAACAGCAGCGCAAACGAAGCATAAAGTGTGCAGTCACCGGCTCAGCGGAATACGCAGGCTTTGGCCTTTGGACTCGAAAAAAAAAAATAATAATAATAAAAGCCCGAGCTAGTCTGTCCAAAAAAAGGAGGAGGGAAAGAAGAGGAACAAAGGCGGCAGCAGAGACGCGTATAATAGTAAAAACACGAACAAATGAACGAATGAAAATGGAAGGAGTGGGCTAAAAATTAGCGGGACAAAGAATCACAGAGTTCAGGAAAACATATGAGTAAATCCACAAAAAATATCTTAAGAATTTCCCCCGTTTTTTAACAAAAAATTTTTTGAAGTATCCCCCACGAGACGGGGCTCATTTTATTCGCAATGCCACGTACTACGTGGGAAAAATCGTAAACACCTTTACTACCTTTTTTTTTCTTCTTTTCTTTTGGGCAAGCTCTACTTATACGAGTATCAACATCCACGTGGTTGTTAATGTACTGAAAAAAAAAGGAATGTGTGTTTTGTTTCTCTTTCTCCGTAGTCAAATTTGGAATTTGTAAGGGGTTTATCATTTTTGGGAGTGTAGATGTCCAAGTCGAAATGAAAGGTAGGTTTTGGGTACATGGTCTCAGTGGACTTCATGAAACCTTTAGATTTTTAAGATACCATTAACTTGCTAATTTAAGGATAATAGTAGTATATTATTTGAACGGTATATGATTAATTTACTAAAATCAGTTAGAATTATGCATAATTTAAATTAAGGGTTGAATAATACTTCATTCCAAGGTAAAACTTTTTTTAACTAAAAAATGAGGTCACTATTGCGTATATTCTCATTGTAATTATTAATATTCCTACATATTCCAACTTCAATCGTGTTTGGGCAAAATAACCAAGAACTGAAACAAAACTTTCATAGTTTCTATTAAATTTTTTTTGTTAACACTTCTCCTGGACATTTTTTCAAGTTATTCTGAAATTATACCCTCTTGCAATCAACAAACAAACACATTACATTATAAAGATCATGTACACATTCACACCATTGAGTTGAACTATCGTATCTCTGACGAGACAGAGACGTAAATAATGAATCACCAGTCGACAGCACTTCGCGGAGTAAGAGCTTTTTCTTTACCGCTGCATGAGATAATGCCGTTCGAAGCGTCTTGGGAGCAAACACAAAAGACTCGACCTTCATCTTTCTTCGGCGAGCCTTTTACGACTCCCCTCCAACTCCTAAATTTTTTTTTTCGCAGAAGCGCGTAAAACTAACACATTGCCGTTCGTTAAAACGCCAATAAATCGCATATAAGCATATACTGCTAAGAGCGGAGTTTGACAAATGTATCGAAGAAGTAAATTGCATTTATGGTTTTATTTTCCTCGTTAAATGAAATATATGGATAAGATAAGGTAAGCTACAAGACTCGATGTATGAAAATACAATTGAAAGCATCTCAATTTATTGTGATTAAATTCAAAGGAAAAATATAATAAATCTAAATGGTGAATAGAAGAAGTAGCGATGTCTTTACCCCGAGATATTTATTTCACACCTGGTGAACATAAACATTTCCTTCTAGTTTTAATGCTCACAAATTCAGAAAAAATGAAATAAAGTTGCATCATCGTTCCCGTAAAAGTCAGACTAATAAGTAGCTCTTAGCAATGTTTGTGCAGTAAAATTGAAAAGCACACAGGTGCTTTGCCGAAGAAGAGATGTCCTCGTTACCACTTCGAGTAACTCGTGCGACCATACAAATGAGGAAAAGAGCAAAAGAGAACTCCTTCACGATCACCTACACACACGTATCTGCGTTCGCGTGCGTTCGATCCTCCTTGGATATCCCAAAACGTCATAAACTTGCTTCTTCTTCTTCGCTCCTACGCGCTTCTTTGGCAAAAATCCTTTGGGAGTCGAGCAAATCGAGACGCAGCGTATAGAAGGGAACTGGGGGACGACTTTGCGCTCCGGCGAGCTCGTTAATAGAGCCCTTAACCCCGTAACTTTACGTGGAACCAAGTTCGGAAAAGCAACGGTGCATACTCTGCCTTGGAATCGAGATGCAACGGGTCTTTGAGGAGAGAGGAGCATCGGCCTGCTTCATCTGACGTACCACTCGATGAAAGTAAATACGAATCACAGATGCACGCTTTTTTCGGATATTTTTGTCTTTGTGATCGTGGCATTCATTCGAATCACTTCACACTTATAGCTCTGACGTTCTCAAGGGTTGAAAATAAATGATGACGATGTACGTTGTTTTGTGATGCACACCAAGTGTGTAAAATCAGTGATGGAAGTAATTTACTCTCTACAGACTTTTTATGCCAATCATTGAAGAAAAACAGTGTTAAAACAAAACTATGAGGCATTTTATAAAAAAAAGAAGTTATATGATTACATGCTTTAAACGTGTTATACTTTAATCACATCCCTTGGATTTTACAGTGCAGTCTTTTTAGATGGTTCTTTTTCTATACGTTAAAATGTATACAACTAGAAAGTAATGTTTTACATGACTACATTACGATGTTGCAAGCAGCGACTACACTTGCGACGTAGCGCACACGATGACACTACCGGGCTTCCGAGGAACAAAACTTTCTCTGCAGTGTGGGGCGCAGTATCTTTGAAAAATGGAAAAAGCCAAGGAGTAAAGAAAAGAAAAGAAAGTATAAGAAGTACGTAAAAGAGGGCTTAACGAGCCGTGGTTCACGGGCCCTTGACCCATGGCTTCGGGAAGCCAACGAGAAAAGCCTCGAGCGTAGGCTTCTCGCTGATCCACGCGAGGATATAGCGTCTTAGGAGAAGATCCGTTGGAGAGACGGATAGCCCTTTGGAGTCATCGTGTGTGGAAAGATTTTTTTCGGATCAACGACAGAGAAAACGCTCACCTGGGCTTTTGTCTGGCCACAGTAAAGGATTTTGATTTTAACTGGGAGATGCATGGACTTGTAGACTCAAAAGTGATTGAAGTAGCTTCTACTTAATATTTACGTTTTCGGAGTAAATAAAAGTACCACTAATTCATTCGCACAAAGCTTTTTTTTTTTTTTTTTTTACCATTTTCTTGAATCATCGAAAATATTTATCCATCATTTGTTTACGACTGATATTTTATTGTTGCAAATAAGCCGTTCTTTACACGGTTTCTTAGAAACTATTTTCGTAACGGTGCACTGCTCCTTCTACTATTAGATGTCAGTGGTATAGTTGATTTAAAAAATAGTAGACGCTGAATATCATTAGATAAAAAAAATGCGTGAAAACAGAACTGGTGCAAAATCAGACGAACCCTTTCATGCGAAATCTGCCTTTTGAAAACTTCAGAGAGGATAAATGCCGGAACAGGAAAAGCTAAAGGGGGATCTTTCACGGCTTTTCTGTCTCGCACCCTCTTTTTTGCTCTGAGGCACTAGGAGGAGGTTACCCGCGTCACCCACATACGTACGAGCGTGGCGGGGGCAGCTGACGTTTAAGAAATCGACGACTTTGCGGCACTTAATTGCAGGGCTCTTGGTAGGAAGGGAAGAGTGAGCTGGTATTTCGTTTGATTATTTTTTATATCGCGAGGATTGTACCAATCAGGACTCGGGAATGAGATGAGCTTGTGCACGTTGTTTTTCTATATTGTGAAACGATACTAGCAACAATGTTTTTAAATATTTTTTAGATGTATTCGAAATTTAACTCGAAAAAATTTTAATCATTTGTCCTTAGGCGTGTGATAGCGTAAAGTACAGCTTAAGTTTCATTCAGAAGCATATCGGTGTATTTGAAAATTGTGTAATCAAACAAATCGCAGTTACGTTTATATGACGTTAAAGATATATGGCACGAAATTTTCAGTATAAACATTAACGAAGTCTTCTTATTAATTTTTAACCTGTAGGGCTCAAAAAATTGACTAATATGTAATTATTAATCATAAATAGGTATACATTTTAAATAAAATGGTACAACAAATTCTTCGTAGACTTGCCGTTTCTCATCTTTTCAAGCACCTTATAGTAACAAAATGCAAACCAAAAAGACAAAACTGCAATAAGTAAAAAACAAAAACAAACGAAACCTTACCTCTTTAGCCTCCATAATGGCATTGGGCTCCTTCGGTGTGCTGCATATGATGCCCAGCTGATAGAGTACGAGCAGAAACAGCAGCGCAATGATACTTAACACGAAGCCCCGGCGCGGGGTCCCGCGCGTGAACAGGTACGTCATCCCTGATACCTTCTTCGTTTGGCACTCGTGCATGTCACCGACTCGGCAGGAGCACCGCGTTCACCCTCGACTAACTCATCGTTCGTCTGAAAAACACATTTTTTTCCAACCATCACTTTGATTCCTTTTTTTGTCTCTGTTTACGATATTTTTTTTTATTTTTTTATTATATGCCTTTTGTCAGCAGTAACGCTGTTCATTTTACAACACACTATTCACTACGTATCAAAGACTAAACATTGAAATATTGAAAATATGATCGATAGAGAGCAGCCAGCATGAAACATAACGGCACTTGAGTAGTTACGATCATCGCGCAGAGTTAATTTCTCTCTCCCTGAATTTTACACTAATTACAGTCATGGAATAACTGTTACCCACACGTACTTCCATCGTCCGAAGCGTGTTTTGCAAATCACAAATGGGGAATAGCATAGCGGTGAGCGGAAAGTTTCTAATGGATTCTGAGTCGTTGTGTAACTTTCGAGCTGGCAATTAGATTAGTATAAAATGCGACGGTTGGGGCGAAACCAAGCGCTCACATATACATACCCGATCCGAGCGTGCAAAGTCAAGTTATATGTACCCCATTGGGGAATCGGGCCAGGCGTAAAGCTTTCGATCTTTGGGTTCTGTGTGTTTTAGGTGCACTGCAAGGGATGCGAACTCGTAGTGGATCGTTCGAGAGGATAATTGCCCTCGGGATTGATATATCATCGTTCCCTCGATGATCATCGAGTCCCTTTTTATCTGTAAAAGCTCCATTCGGTTCGGGGCTTGGTAGAGCGATTTTTCGCGTCGAGAGTCGGGCCGTCGAAATCGATTTGCTCCGAATTTTGGAGCTTCGCCGAGCTTTTATTTTTAACACTTCGTGCTTAACGTGGAATGACGAGTATCGAAATTTACACAGATTTCAAAGATTATTGGAGAGAGGCTGGATAAAAATGGCACGTACAGTGAATTCGTGCAGCAGCTTTCGTGAAAGCTTTTTAAGGGCTCGATAACAGCTCAGTGCAGCTATGGAGTGCCATTCGGATGGAAGCTGCAGCTGAAAGAGTGTTGATGGTTTTTTTTTCTCCAAAAAACTCTCTCTACAAATACGTTAGACGGTAGGCCGATTGGTGAGCAGTTATAAAGGACGAATCACAGTTTGTAGAAACCGATTAATCTCAACTAAAAAAAAAAAAGAAAAAAAAAAGGAAATCTTTAAAAGTACGATGGTTGCTGTTATGTTTTTGTAAACTTCTGTTGTAAATAAGAGCACGAGTGGTAAAGCTAGCACAGCTCAAGTCCTGAGATAATTATCGAAAAAAATGGTCCAAAGAAAATCTAAAGCTGCAGCCAAGCATTCGATACCAGCAGTTACCCATAAAAAAAGCCGATACCCATACAAATCCCGCAGCCTTTGAAACTTGTACTGTGATTTTGGTAATCAACCAGAGCTTCCCATTTTTTGTATAAGCACAAAGCAGTCGACGAACAAACGGTAACATGGACCGATACACAGTTTTTTCAACATGTCAATGCAACCGCACAATCAGGCAGTAGACCGAGTCCACGGACATCAAACAATCTAGCATACAAGTTCAATCCCGGCCGTGTATTGGTGGAATCGTGTACGCACGATGGAGCACGGATTGAATGAGACTTCGATGTTTTTTTTTTTACGGCTGGCGAAATTGCCTTTTGGAACGATTGTTGTTGATGGTGCTGGCAGCCACGAATGTCACTCAAATTTACAGTAAACATAGCATTCGTGATAAACCTGACTTTGATTAATAATGTGCACACGGAATGGAGAAAAAAACATGTTGAATATTAACATTTGGTAAAACGTTAGTATTCCACGGACATTCCCTATTTCGGAAGCAAAAAAACAGGAGCATTCATTATCTCTCAAATCCTACGTCATCCTGCCTGTTGGCTATTTTTTTTTTTTTTTCCTTTGTTTTCGTTCGCAAGGCACGACCGAATCACTATTTTCGTGCCCAAAATTTTAGAGCACACGCGAGCTAATCCGAAAGCTTAGCAAACGAAAGCTGAAGTTTTTTCGTGCAAACCTGAACTTTTGTAAAAGCGTACGTGTACGAGGAAAAAAAAAACAAGGCGCACGTGTAGGGAAAACGCAAAAATTGCGTGAATGAAAAATTGAGAACATCGACAAAAATGAAGCGAAAAGTAAACTAGACTTTAAAGCCGTTTTTATGAAAACAGAATATTGCGAGTCGAAAGTTGCACATGAAAAGTGCGAGGTACATACCAAGCTCATCACTATTACCATAGCTATTCTGAAATAAAGTTGTAACAATATGAATGTGAACGTTTTGTTGTACAAAAAGTTTGTTATGAAAATCCAATATTTCGAATGTTCGTTTTACGCGTCAACATGCACTTTTACTGCATCAGTAGTCAAGGTCAACGTGTAGTTAAACACACTATTCTAGTAGCATGGCAGTAGTAAAGGTCAGCACATAGTCAGACATTGGTAGAATACCATGTTTTTTAGTACATCGTAGTAACTTTGTCGGACAATTTCTCGTAGCACATAAACAGTAACATTTATTGTTTAAAGTCTGACATTCTTTATCGTAACACATAGTAGTTAAGGTCAATATTAAGTCAGACGCCCTTTTTTGTAACACGTCAGTGGTACATAAATATCAGTGTGCAGTAGTAAAGGTCAACGTTTAATCAGACATTATCGTCTCGGTATATATCAGTAGTAAGTACAAATGTAGTCAGACATTCCCGATAATTTTTATTTTTCCTCGAAATGTATTAAGAGGCGTATGCTGCACTCGAAATCACTCAAAATTGTGAAATACGACAGTACTTTGACAATTTTAAGCCACAATAAAACGCAGTAATACGAGTTAAAAATCACAAAAAACGACGATGGAAAAAAATAGCAAGGTTATATATATACATGAGTTCCAGATTAGAAGACAGTGCTCTGCGGAAAATATTACATCTCCACTCAACTCGAAGGAAAAGTCGACCACCATTAATATTCTTCTGTTCGACAATCAACACAACATTTCCGAAAGGAAGAGGGGGCGAAGCGTTCCCAAGGGAACCGCGTGTGTGACAATATGTTGGATAATAGGGTGCGCTCAGATAGACAGGCAGGCACTATCGTAAACATTGATCACCGCCTTGCACGTATGTATGTCCTAAACCCTATGTCGTAAGGTAGATGGAAAAAAAACCACAGCGAGGAGATGATGGAAACAAGTCCTCGATGAGCAGAGAGCAGTGAAGGGGGTGGAAAAAATGGACACGAGTACGGATAGCGCGCGCAGGACTCGGTGGGATGAGAGGGAAAAAGAAAAATGAGTCGGGCGGCGGAGAGCAACTCAGCCAGAAGATAGATATTTAGCTTTCCTTGTGCACTCTTTTCTTTTCGTTTCTTTGCACCCTTTTCTTCGTCGCGTCGCTCGGTGCTTGGCGTTTATGACTTTTCTTCTCCGGCTGCGTTTCTCGGAGATGTTTTTCTTCGTGCAAGTGTTTTTCTTAGAGGATAGTTGGCTGACTGGCCAGTTGTACACTCAAGTAGTCATCAGTATTATGCTCGTTGAAAGTACGTATTTGTGCAGAATAACTGTTTGGTGTCGAAAAAAATCGTCTAGTTTAGTTTCATCTTGGCAATATGAAAAAAATGCCTTTAAGCGCCTTTTAGTCGCTAAAATCATTGGGTAAATATCTTTGAGCTTGTGAAATTCAATCCATGGTATTTGAAGATCAACAAAATGCAACTATTCGAGTTTATCCGATCAAATATCAATTCGGGGATGCCCACATGGATTCGTCCGGTTAGGCGCTCGAAGTTATTGGCTTGGCCAATAATTTTTGTTCAAAACGCAGAAAACAGTGCCATCGGAAAAATATCGGGGATCCGCACCACAGATGAAAACGATAAGCAAAGCGAGTATTTATTTTCACGGAATCAATTAAAAATGTGCACACGTGCGTATACGCGCATTCGAGCACGATAACAATAACTACCTTTGCGAGGTTTTCATTTTGCCCTCGTAAATTTTACACTTTACAATTCAAAGATAAATATACCACTGTGTTATTTTGCACGTACGTGTATTGATGTTTATACATTGAACCAGTCAATAATTCATGAATTAATGAAAAATGTATTAATAATGGGGTATTTTTGATTTTGAAATATATTTAGGCTTTCATGAATATTTATTGCAGGACGATTAAAATAAAATATTCGATGCTCTTTAAATATTAATATTCAAGAGGAAGCCGTGTAATCGAGAAATCCCACGTATCAGTAGAAGAGCTCGTGCATTAGTCAGCCGTGCACGTTTTCGCTGTACCTTTTTTTTTATTATTTGAACCATGGCATAAATTATTCCAATGTATAGCGTTTATCATAACAAAAAAACCGATACTGATCCTTTTCACAAAGCTATTGACCAACATTCGCGTTATGTGATCAAATCATTACGAAAAATGATATGTAAGGCCTTACATAGAGAACTATTTATATAAAAAAAAAAAATCAATCAGTTACTTTCTACGTTGTTTGATGTGTCAATGATGACATTAAACGATTTTTGTTTAACTAACACATGAATTTGCTAAAAAGTTTATGGTCAAGCGTATCAGCTAGTCTTGAAAGTTTATCGCAGCAGTAAAAAGGCAATTAATCATGTCGGATTATATTGCACAGCATAGCTCGGCAGACGAATTTTTGTCGACGTTCATTGAGCCACGGAAACGACGGCGTACGTGAGTTGGTAGCCAAGCCGAGTAGGCGTATATATACAGCTACTGCTACGGAGCGCGAAATTTATGTGCAAAAGCTTTCAAAGTCCCTCCCTGACGACTCGAGAATTCTTCACGCAAAGTTTTATCAAAAGTTGCCCGAGAGATAATATTTTTTGGGCCACTCTCCGTGGATAACGATTGCTTATAGGAGACGGATTTCCAGAGCTGCGAGGCGTATCGCGTCAAAAAAAAAGAGGCAGAAAAGCGCATTTGTTTATTGGCGAGCCTTTAAACTTGAGAGTATACGAGAACGAGAGGTGAGAGCTGGCGCGATTCGGAACGAGCGCCTCGTGAA